TTCTTTATACTCATTAATTTGAAAAAGTGCAAATAAAAGACTTTTTCTGCTGTCTTGGAAAATCAACGACTACCTTGCAAACATTGCGAAAAGTACCAATGTTTGTAAGTTATTTTTAGCTCAATACATGCCCATGAGGCCTGTATATTTTGAAATCGATCGGTCAAACCGTTTTCCTTTCCTGAATCGTCAGTTTTATAAAAAATTAAAGGAGTAAGTTTATTGCTCCTTTAACATTAACATGAAACAAATTTTTTTGCGTTATTTTTCTCACAATTTCGCGTTAAATACATATCAAATATGGAAAAAAAATTCAAAATTTTGAAAAAAAACAAAAATTTAATATTTCCAATGTCGAGAAAATTTTTTTTGTCAAATTTAAAAAATTTTTTTTCAAAATTTCAAAACTTTTTAAAATTTATTTGCGTCCTCTTTTTTACAATTTTACATTGAATATTTCAAATGTCAAGAAAAAAAATTTTTTTTTTAAATTTAAAAACTTAAAAATTTAGAATTTTTTTTTTTCGGTTTGATATTAAGCAAAATTTTCAAAATTTTTTAAAATTTATTTACGTCCACTTTTTTACAATTTTATATTGAATATTTCAAATGTGGAAAAAAATTTTTTTTTCAAATTTAAAAAAATTTTAATTTTCAAAATTTTACTTCATATCAAATCGAAAAAAAATTTTAAATTTAGAAAGATAAAATTTTTTAAATTTAAAAAAAATGTTTTCTTGACTTGAATGTAATTGAATTGTAAATAAGACGCAAATAAATTTTAAAAAGTTAAAAATTTGAAAATTTTACATACTAATCAAACCGAAAAAAAAATTCAAAATTTTGAAAATATTTTAATTTCAAAAAACAAGATTTTTTTCTCGACAATTGAAATATTCAATGTAAAACTGTAAAACAGAGGACGCAAATACATTTTAAAAAATTTTAAATTTTCAAAATAAAATTTCTTAAATTTCAAAAAAAAAATTGTTTTTCTTGACATTTGAAATATTCAATGTAGAATTGTAAAAAAGAGGACGCAAATAAATTTTAAAAGGTTTTGAAAATTAATAAATAAAATTTATTAATTTAAAAAAAAATTTTTTTCTCGCCATTTGAAATATTCAATGTAGAATTGTAAAACAGAGGACGCAAATAAATTTTAAAAAGTTTTGAAAATTGAAAATAATTAAATTTCAAAAAAAAAAATTTTTTCCTCGACATTTGACAGGTATTCAATGTAAAATTGTAAAAAAGAGGACGCAAATAAAATTTAAAACGTTTTGAAATTTTGATTATAAAATTTTTTAAATTTCAAGAAAAAAAAATTTTTTTTCGCCATTTGAGGTACTTATTCAATGTATAATTGTCAAACAAAGGACGCAAATAAATTTTTAAAAGTTGAAAATCTGAAAATTAAATTTTTTAAATTTCAAAAAAAAAAAATTGTTTTCTTCGACAATTGAAATATTCAATGTAAAATTGTAAAAAAGGACGCAAATAAATTTTAAAAAGTTTTGAAATTTTGAAAATAAGTTAAGATTTCAAAACTAGAATATTCAAGCTTCAAGATGCTTCTTTTTTTTTCTCGATATGACTGTTATTCACGAAGTTACAACCTTTCAAAAACCACTATAAAAAAATTTGAAAATTTTTTTTGGAATGCTTTTAATTATGTATGAAAATATAATAATTCTTATAATCTTATAATTCATTTTGTGTTGTCTCATTGGCTACATTCAGCCGATAGAATCGATGAGTGGAACCACGTTCTTTTATTCATCATAAGTATACAATGGATTATGTACAGCCAATCAGAACCTAGGATTGTTTAAATAGACCAATAATATTACATGGATGGAATTCATCACATCAAAACAAATATAAGAACACGACCTAACTCATCGATTCTGTCGGCTGAATGTAGCCATTGTTTCCATTGTTTCCCAAACTATGCTTTCGCTGCTACTCAATGCCTACTGGCACAAAAAGGTACTTTGTGTCTACTGCTGTAGGTCGCTCTATATGGTATAACCTATATGTCATCTTAAATGTCATTGCTACTCATCTGGCACACAACATTCCTTTGTACCTAACAACAAAGAACCTACCAATCTGTAACTGAAAGCTTGACTAAACGAAATATGTCGTGATCCTTTAGCATTGTCCCAATTTTCAAAACTTTGACATTGTAGGTACTTAAAACCATGTTTCCTTATTGACCTCTGCCAATATATGAGTTTAATAAATTTTGACCCAGGATAAAAATACTACATAACGCGACTCACCTTTTATTCATTTTTGGGTATATTAATGAACATCTGCGCATACATATGCCCTAGAGTTTTTATGTTCCTTTGCATGATAATTCTTAAAGTATTCGTATAAACTTCCGGCGGCCTGGCGAGAATCGGGTCCCTCCAGTGTATCCCGTTCGTATCGCAACCGAACAATGCAGGGGACGGGATGTGGTCGCGCATATACAACCAAATGGATTCCCTTAGAATTGCCACGATCTGAAATTTATTTCCATAGTATAGCTAGTGCTTGCAGTTAAAATTACGGAGCTCACCTCGAAGCACTTTAAATGCGGAATCACATCTCTAATACTAGAAAGGGGAGGAGGTAAAAGTTGTCCCAGTGCCATAACATCGATTACTTTTACGGTGGTGTCCATAAGGCTCTTGTAGTTTTCCGACTCGTCGGCCTTACTTTGTTCCCCCATGCTCTTCCACTGATGTATCAAGGTGGCAGTTAACGCCCTTAATAAAACGGAACAATAGCAGATTGCCGGTCGATAGACCGCCACCAAACTTAAAAGTTCCCAGAGTAGAGGTGTATTAGTGAACATCCTCCTAATAAAAAGGTCCCTTTCCATTGTAACCTAAATGTATTCAATTTTTTGTAATTGATATACGACATAACGAACCCTCTCCTGTCAAAAGTTATAACCAGAGTTTGGAACCACGGAGTTTACGTATGAAGTTGTATTCCTCAGAGCAAGCGTTGCTTTTATACCAATAGACCAGGGCGGATCTGTCGAAATATCCCACTTCTTGGATTAAGACGGGGCAAGCTAATTTTTGCTGGAATACCTTCAGTACAACTCACATAATAAAAGTGTAAATCCCTAAATCTAAGCGAGGTCCGGAACATTTTCAAAATTGCAAAAATGTTTAAAAAATTTAAAAAAAGACCTATTTTATCTGAGTTTTTTACTTATATCTTGGAACCTATGCATTTTGGAACAATATTTAAGAGGAAAAAAGTTTTAGAATTGAATTTTTTCACAATATACTGCAAGTTAAAAATGTTTAAATTTATTGCAATGTTGCAAAATAGCAATAATTGATGAAAAAAAGACAAAATAATAGTTTTTTCGATACTTTTTTTTTAAATATTTTAATTGCTATGAGGGCATTCTAATTTTGGTAAAAAAAAACTTTAGAGTATAATAATATAACACACCAAATTTCATTAAAATCGGTTCGATAGTTTTCGCAAAATAATTTTTTGAAAAAAATTTTCCAATTTTCAAAATGTTGCACAGCCAAATAAAGCATCTAGATACTTGAAAATTTTTTCACATAGAGAATACCGCTCAACCCTTCAAATGGTTTTTGAAAAATTGAAATCGGTTGATTAGGACGGCCACAGTAATTTTTTAAAATTAAGAGCGTTTTTTTATTTTTAAACAATTAGATTACATTTATCAATTTGCAATTTAGTGTTTTTCAAAAATTATAAATTTAAAGTACTATTTTTTATTTAATTTTATCTGTATTTAACAAAAAAATTAATTTCTAAATATTTTTTTTAATTTGTTTAAACAAAACTGATTTAAATAATTGTAATAATTATAACTAAATACATTCATATTTAGTGTTGAAATATATACATAAACAAATCTTTTCATTGAAAAAATGCAATAGCATAAGGTAAAATACAGTATATTTAATGCTTAAATAATAAACTTTGCAAAGTAGACAGCATTACAATATTTGAATTCCTTCGCTCGCGAGACATTGGATTAAAAAGCAAAAGATCGAAATTGTTCCATTAGAAGCCGAGATAATGGACTGTGGCCGTCCTAATCAACCGATTTCAATTTTTCAAAAACCATTTGAAAAGTTGAACGGTGTTTTCTATGTGAAAAATTTTTCAAGTATCTAGATGCTTTATTTGAGGCTGCGTAACATTTTGAAAATTCGAAAAAATTTTTCAAAATAAATTATTTTATGAAAACTATCGAACCGATTTCAATGAAATTTGATGTGATATTTTATTATACTCTAGTTTTTTTTACCAAAATTAGAATGCCCTCGGAGCCCTTGATTATTTTGCCATTTTTTCATCAATTATTGCTATTTTGCAACATCCGTAATAAATTGAAACATTTTAACTTACAATATGCAAAATTCAATTCTAAAACTTTTTTCCTTTTCAATATTCTTCCAAAATGCATAGGTTCCAAGATATAAGTAAAAAACTCAGATAAAATAGGTATTTTTAAAAATTTTTTAAACATTATTGCAATTTTGAAAATGTTCCGGATCTCGCCCAGATCTAGGGAACTACACTTTTATTATGTGAGTTGTACTGAAGGTAATCCAGAAAAAATTTGCTTGCCCCCTCTTACATCCACCTCAAAACAGATCCGCCCTGGTCTACAACTACGTTGTTCAAAGTTAAAAAATAATTTAGCAAATCAGATTGTTTTTGTATAATTTACGGGCTTGTTATTTTAAAGTCATCATATTTTTTTGATGTCACTGTGGTAGAAGAGCGGAACTCTATTTCTAAAAAAAAAAGTTACATGATTTATTAAATACTAATTTTGATATGTAGATACGTTACTAATTGTAAATAATGTTTATGACAACATATTTAGAATACAACTACCTTCATTGTCTACTGTCGACAAAGGACAACAAAAAGTATTTGTTACAAATTTTTTTAAAGCACTGTGTTTGGTTTGTGAATCTGATGTGATATGACAACAGGTTGCAAAATGGACAAGAAACTAATGGCTAACATTGATTCGGCCAAACAAGAATGATCGAATAACCCCTTCATTTTATTACAGTCTTCAATTTATCGGTTTACTGAAAGATATTTGTAAAACAGTGGGTAACTTTGCGACTTCTGAATAAAGTGTTAGTTTTAATGGAATCGAAATAGAATTTGTATAGTACAGTGTTGTGTTTTAAGTAAAAAACGACCCCCATTCACAGATACTCTAATTCAAATTTAAGGTAATACGGCAACTACAACAGCTGACTGAGTATTATGAACAACATCCGATAAACAACTGAAATGAAAAATGGGAAATTGAATTAAGCGCAACTCAGTTATAATCACGTGTCCCAAACTCTAGTCATAGCATACTAGATCTTTAATTTTTAAATTAAGACAAATCGTAGCTTTGCTGCGGAAAATTTAAATGCTGCTAAAGCTTACCTTTGAAAACTCTTCCTCTGGCCAAGGCAGCCCGTTGTACATAACATCCGGACTGACGAACTGGACTAAGAGTAACGACAGGAGCGTCACGCTGTCCAAAGACATGTCGCAGTACTTGTTTTCCTCCGGCAACGTGCAACAGGCTTTAATAGCGTTAATAAGCTGGTAAGTGTTGGCCGCAACAACTTCATTAGACAGCTGATCCGAAGTAATGGATTTCCGTTTTCCTCTCCCAATTACGCCGCCGTTGAATACCGAGGAGTGTTTGGTTAAAGGAATCGTTTTATTCTATAAAAATTTTCGATGAAAATCACACTTTAGCCCTCTTATTTTTTACTTACGATTTTCTTATTCTGTTTCAAAAGGCCTTTCTCGCTGGCATCGTGTTGGATGTTACCCTTGGCCCCGAAAAGTACGTTATCACTACGAAACAGCGCCCTTTCCAACAGTTCCCGCAACGCAAGCACTTTCGCTACTTTAGAATATATGCAAATCCTTTTTAACATTGCTGCGACTTTAGCGAATCCCTTAAATTTTGTCGAGGTACCTAAAAAAAAATATGCCAAGATATACAAACAATTTCTTAATGAAAATTGCACACGATAAATGTATAAAAAGAGGACGTGACTCTAGAAAAAACATTGTGTATCATAAATAATCGCAAACGATGAAAAACTTCCTTACCGTCGTCCCTACAGCAAGCAAAGAAATAGTTCACGGTCGACTGAGTTAAATTCAATATGACTTGAATCGGTGGGCTGTAAGAATCGTTTGGCACGGGAATTTCCATTATATCCAAAATATCGGCTATGATGTGCATATGATTCACTTCGTGGACAAATAACGACGTCAAATTTGTTAGATTTGATTCTATTGCCTTCGTTACAATATGAGAATTCAATAACGAGACTTGTCCGCTCCTCTCCCAACTAAAACCAAATGAATTTAAAAAATATGATTTGGATTGAACGCTTTTGTCACTGAATAAATCAGGATGTACATATACTAAATTTTTACCAAAAAATTTTCTGATATTTCCAGGGAAATTATAAACTGCAAGAAATTTTATTCAAGATTACTATTGACTTGAAAATATCCGAAATATTATCCCGAATTACTCACTTCAGTAACGTTAACAAATTATGCCACATTTGCGAGAAATCGGAATCCTCCTCATCGGAAATGGAAAATTTCTGGACGTATCTACTCAACAACTGTTCCAACACTACGGAAAAGTGTCCACCCTTTTCACAATACGGCGGAGATGTCTTATCGATAAGTTCACTTGTCAGGATCTTAATTAAAAGGGCTAGTTGGTCTGAGGTGGTGGCGTTCTGGAGCAAGAAAGTAACCGCTTTTACCATTATCGATGGATTGCCATGTCCTAAAATACAAATTGATTTTAAAACGAAAAACAAGTTTAACTCTCAACATAAATAGCGGTAACAAGTTTTTCTACAAATGTCGGGTTCTTCCAGAATGTTCGTAAATTTTACAGAATATTTCCTAGCCATGAAAATGAGAATATTTCCTAAAATTACCAAGAACTTTCTCCGATATTCTGAAGAACGTTAAGTATCAATTTTGCATAATCTGCGCCTATGTGCTGCTACTTTACTATTGGTGCTTGCGATATGCGTTTTTATTATGTTTTGTTACCTGTCACAAATATATGATTTAAAAAAAAATACATTTTCTCTGTTTTCGAATATAATAAAATTATTTCTGTATCCTAACTCTACACACACGAATGGTGTGCTTTTTAAAATCTGAAGACACAAAAATAATCAACAAATAGAACACAAAATTGTACTTTTGCCTTCAAGACTGGAAGTTATTTTACCGAGCTTATCGAAGAAAAATAGCATTCGAGAACGCAAAAGCATTTCGCGTTCGAGAGGCAAACATTTTTACGAAAACTGAAACAAAATAAGACAATTGTATTATATACAACAATTTAATTTATATCTGAAATCCTTTGAACTGTGTTTGAATCAAGACGGTTTAGGCGCGGTGACTATCATAACGATAGCAACCTAATAAACAATAGAAATTAGTTTTTTGAAGAAGTAGGGTCAGAATTATATATTTTAATTTATATTCTAAGTGTTTAATTCAAAATGAGCTTGATAGTGAAGACGAGCATTTATCAGGGGAAGTATTGAAAACGGGACAATTTATCCCCAAAAAATCGTCGAAAGAAAATGAGATTGCCTACAATGAATTCAAAGGGTGGTGTAATTTGAAGAAAATTCAAAAACTGTCCAAAGCAGTATTACTAATATATTTCAAACATAAAATTAATAAAATTAAACCTTCGACGTTATGGTCAGTATACTTCACGTTAAAAAGTACATTGAATGTCAAAAAAAACATATATAACGAGTATTCAAATAAAAACGTGGTCGAAGTTGGCTCTGACACATTGGACGTAGGGAGTAGCTTATAGCGACCAACTTAACCTTATTTCTTAACGAGCTGTATAGCAGCTGTCACAGCTGTCAGTTTCAATAACAAAGCGGCGATACAGCGCTTTGACAGATGACGTTTAAGTTCATTTGCTATACGCTACGCCCTACGTCCAAATTTTCAGAACCAACTTGACCACGTTTTTATTTGAACGCTCGTTATATCAGAAAATTTCCGAAACTCATACCTTAATTATTTGAAAAGCAAATCAGTTGGATACCATCTGAAAAAGTCCAGAATTCTAACGAAAGAAGAAATTGAGAGATTTTTCAAGAAGCAGCTGGTGATAGATTTTTGCTAGTATGGGTACACATGTCTGCAAGTGACCCATTTTAAGTGCTTCAAGAGCGCCAGCCTGACGCACCCCGGACCAGGGTTCCAGGAAGAAGACTTCTCGAAATTTTATTTTTGGAGACAAAAATAAATTTTCAAGGACGTTTTGTATGATATTCGACAAAATATCTTGATACTTACCCAAGAATGTAATGAGTTGCCTTCCTGTATCACACACAATTTTTGTGGGATGGAGAAGCATATTTTCGATTTCGTGAACCTCCTTTGAAAAAGAGTTCATAATGTTGATGGGATTGTTATGTCTAACATATTCGTCGACTTCTAACAGCACGTTTTCTAAAAACAAACATTAAATGGAATTATACAGCAAAATATGGCTTAAATCTGAGTTAGACTATGTTGCTATAAGTTTGGTAATTAGTACATGTTTTTTTTTAAGAAAACTTACCAGACTTATTTAATCAATAAAATCAATTTCGGATTCAAATTATACTTACGAAGTATATCCTTGGACTTTTCTATAATATCATTCCTCATTTCATCGCTTCCTCTGACTTTCTCCACTAGAATACAATTTAACAACAAATTCACAATTTGAACGGCACCATGCTCACTACGTAATATTAAAGTTGTTATGAGTTCCTAAAGTTTAAAAACATTATTAAAATTTCATGGTTTTTCTCCTTGCTCACCTCTAAAGCTTCAGGCGTTCCAAAATATCTACACCAGTCTTCTATAAAGTGATACAACCTTCCAACAACTTCTACCGTTACTAAAAAAAACATTTCATCACTGAGTTATGTCAAATATGTGCCTAACACACACTCACATATATTTTTTGTGTCACTGCAAATCGATGACAATAATGTAGAAGATAAATACATTAGCTGTAAAATATAAGGAACCGTCGCTTTTTTTTGTAGTCTAGTTGCATCTGTGTCCTCGAAAGTTTCTCTTAGACTCCACTAAAAGAGAAAACATTTGTGTAAAGTTAATATTATAATCGACGATAATATGCAAAACCAGCAAGTGAATAAAATTACAAGCTATAAAACGATAATATAAGATTTTAATTTAATTAAAAAGCTCACCGAAAACATTTCTAATATTGCATTTCTTATATCTTGTACATGACTGCCAGCCAAATGTCCTAATATCCCAACAACCGATATAAGTTTTGGCGATTTGCATCCTTGATCGTACGATTTATTTTGGCAAAAATCTTTAAGCCCGCAAGATAAAACCCTCGTTATAACTGTATTTGGAAAACAGCTGCCAACATGCGCCACAACCCAGTCAAAATTTGGTGAATGTTTTACCGACGTATCTGCAAATTAAAGCACAATGTTACTGAAGTTGAACTATCTGTGAAAATATAAATGATGTGTTACCCAAGAGAGCGCTAATACAAGCTTCAGTGTCACAATGAATAAGGCTAGACAAACATTTAGTATTAATATCAACCAAAGTTCTTGTAGCTCGGCATGCCATCCACAACTGCAAAGTCTCGTTTAGATCTGAAATATTATTATGGTCAATTTTAAAGCAATTTCTTTTTAAAACGATAAATACTTGTAGATATGTGAGCCCTTCCAGAATATTTTGTGGATATTTCGCCTAATAATTCCAAGGACCAAGTACTGATTGTCGGTGCCCAAGCAGAAGCACTCTCGGTGATCAAACTCACCAGAACTATATGAATCTCTGATATGACCAATTCGTCTGACTCGGATACTGGTGGTAGGTTTCCCGTTTTAATTTCTGTCTAAAGGAAAGTTAACAAACACATTGTTAATATATTGAAGCAACTTACCTCTATTCCTTCAATGTAGTTGAGAGCTGCATTGTCAAACACTTTGGAAAAGTACTCAAATATGGCAACTCTACAAGCGGGAAGGCATTTGAGTAAAGTCAGTGAGGATTTGGTTAAATCCAAAGGACTACATTTTTCTTTCTTAGTAGTTCCTCTGATAAAAAATTTCAATTCGTTCATCAAATCCTGTTGAGGAACTGTACGAATAACCGTCGAATGAGATATCATTTTACTTTTCATTTAAAATAAAACAGACAATATTTAATCATAATAGCTTTCCAACGGGTCAGAAATATATAATTTTGTATATTTATTTATTAACCACTATTTAACTAGCAAGTAGCAATTATTACTATTTATTAGGTTAGGTGTTAAGTAAACATAACCACAGAAAACAGAATAAGCATTTCTTCTTCTTCTTCTCGATTGCTATTTAAGCTTAAGTTGAGGTTGTTGTAGATCTAATTTACAACTAAGAAAAAGTAGGCCTGATGTTTCATTTTAGCCTTATTATTTATCGTTACTGTTCTCATTTCTCATTGTTTTTATGCTTAAAATAAGTAACAAAGTAATAATAAAATGTAAAATTTATTTATTTTATAAAAACATAATTAGTAAAAATAAATATCACACTGGTTATTGTGCTCAATACTGTGTATTTCAACTTCCCAAGCCTTATGCGAAGCATAGAATTGTGATCGATTGCCCGTGCAAAATGGACTCTATTTTCCATCAGCTGTTCTTTGCAACTTCCTCAACTTGTGCACCAATTGTGGATTTGTGATTAAAGCTCTATACAGTGAATCGAAAAGTAAATTTTCCTGGAAAAATGCTGGAAACGGCATGTCTTCTAAAGAAAAAACGTGAACATGTCCGTCTATATCCCCGACAACTAAACACCTTCCGCTGTCGATAAACTGAACTATAGTATTTTTGGTTCCTGTAGGCGAACGAGTTATCGACTGAGGTTCATACACTTTCCTCTGAAAGTCCCAAATTAATATGTTTTGCCCAAGAATGGTAACGAGAATCGTTGAATGTGTCGGGCTCCAGTCCAATCCTTGGACGCTTTCCATCGTTGTGTATAATTCCAGAAGGGGTTGGAATATATCTAAGATACATTAAAACACTCTTAATATATTGCGAATCGTTTTTGTCTTAAAAAAAATTATATATTAAACTGATATAATATAAGAATTTAAAATTCAGTGTAAACGGTATTTTGTAAGTTAAAATAGACAAAAGTTATACCTTCTGCCCATATTCTAGTGTGCCAATCATCGCCGCAAGTAGCACAAATCTTTTTGCTGAATGGCGAAAACTTCATAACGTACACGGGGCCGTCATGAACTAATGAATGATCCAAATGTTGGTTGAAGTAGTTAATGGAACATTTGTGTATGACTCCCTTGTTGGTGCCAACGAAATATATCGTGTCCTGGGTCGGGTGCTGGGTAACGAAAAACGCTGCCGCATACCTAGACACGGGAATGTTCAAATTGGAACACTGCCCCATAGAATCATAACCTTTCAACTTCCCGTCAGCTTTGGGCACCCGCATTATCTCTTGGCCCTTTAAAAGTTGTAATATTTAGTACACAAATATAAATATATGCAACATCTTGTACACGATCTGTACCGTTTCTCACTAACCTCTAGTTTTCTTGCCACGGAATAGGTAATAACTCTGCCATCGTCGAACGCAGCGCAGACCTGTTCCTTATTGTTGAGTTCGTATTGCGAGATGCGCCAGCTGATATCCCGAACTGGTTCAAATTTTGGGGTATTCTCTCCGATTATCATCTTCTCTCTGCTGATGATATTGAGTACCACTACGTGACCGTTATAAAGCCCTACTGCCAACAGATTAGGGTCGCTCTTGGAAAAATTTAAAGCGGTCACTGATCTAGGAAAGGCATATTGGCGTTCCGGTTGAACGGGATTCTTTATGTTCCATATGCACACTATGCCCGTTATGTGATCGGCAAAATAAAATTTTCCGTAGCCCACGGCTAACAGGTCTTTGTTTAAGGGATTCCAGTGCATCGCGTTCACACTCCTGCCTAGAAAATATTATACGTAATCGATTTTTTTGTGCTTAAATAATTAGACAGTTTTAAATTCAAAAAAATTTGTCGTTTTCAACAAAAACGCGAATAACTATTAACACATATTGTAGTTGTGTTATTTAAAATCATGGAAAATTCAAAAATTGACTACGAATTTAATGAAAGCGTTCAGAGCCGTACTCTAGAAACTACTAAAAACCTTTTTATTACAATAGTAATATCATCTAATTCAGAATTAAAAATGACTAGATTTTGTCATAAAAATAGCAGCGACATATTTAAAAAAATTAATCTGATGATGGCCCCTAGAAGACGAAACGTCGGATTGCAAAAATGTTGACGCCATTGGATAGAGCGAAAAAAGTGGCAATGTAAATATGCAATTTATTTTAAAACTCGTTTTTAAACAAAGCCACAAAAAAAATAAAATGATTTTGCAAAATTTCGGGTTTCGCATCAACAGTAGACTTTGCAGCTAATACTTTGTATTGCTGAAATCTCAAATCATCCAGAGATAATTTATCATTTGTGCATTTGTAATTCGATTTAGACGTTTATAACAATACTGTACAAAAATAAAGTTTTGGGTCAAACAATGAGTTTTTTTTAATTTTTTTCCGTTTTCCATTGAATGGTGTAATCAGTTTTTGAATGTTTTTTAATTTAAGCAAATTATCAACAATTACTGAAATTGTTGCAAGTCATTTTTTATTATTTTGCATTTTTGGGCATGTTTTTGAACAGTGATTACAGATTTTTTTATTTCACCAAAAAGTATGTCAAAACGAAAAAATGATTCCCAGCAGGACTCTGTACGATGATTTTTCTAAGTAGAAGTGTTTCAAACCGGAAAAAATGAATATCTCAGAAACTTCTCGATTTTTTTATCTAAAAAAATGGATGGTTATTTAAAACACAGACAGGTATACTTTCACCAAGTTTCGTTAAAATTAAATTACTTTTGCGGAAATGACATTTTTTTTTTGGTAAAAATTTTGTACTTGTTCCAAATCTGTAATGATTTATAGCATTTTATTTAAAATATGGAAGTAGGCAGCTATACTTCCAGTATAATCGTAAGGAAATGATTTCTCCTTTATAAATTTCTAACCAAAGCTTGCCCTGACACACCCTGTATGTTAAGTAATGTAACTATTTACAAAACTTTAAATGTGCAACTAAATTAACAGTTATAAAAAAAAAATGTACCTATATTATCTAAAATTTAAAGTTAAAACAAAAGCCTTCGTCGCCTATTCGTTTAAATTTGAAATGTAAGATTTGGTACAGAAATCTTTGTAACTATACCTTTTGTCTCTGAATTGGCAAAGGTCCATAAAAGGTTTAAATTATATTTATACTCGATATTCTCTCTGAATTCACTCGGGTCCGATAAACCTATAAACCGTTTCTGCTGTTCGTTGTAACAGTTGTTTGCAAGTAACCTCTCCATAACGCAAATAGCTTCCAGAAACCTAGGATTCTTCAGTAGTTTATTCAGTTGTCTCTCATCAGCGGATATGCGATAACTGTCAAGTGAGGATATATCGTCTAATTTATGTCGTTCTGTGTCATTTATCTCTGAATCGGTACTTTCTTCGCTAGATTCTTCCTTTCCTTCTAGGTATGTATCGTACATTTCCCAATTCGAGGCAAAAGTGCAGTCCGTACGATGTTTAATCTTCTCTGGATTAGTGTATCGTGATTTTTTTAAAACGGGTACTGTCTGGACTTCGGCGTGAAGCACCTTTCTATTTCGCCCTTTCCCAGTAGTGAGGTACTCGTATTGTTGATTGTCATCATCTATAGCAATTCCTGAAAGGGCATTTTCAAAATTTTATTCACTAGATGAATAAAAATTTGTAAAATTACTTGAATGGTATAAACTAACCTTCATCCGAATCTTTTATCGCAGTGGAACTTGGAATATCCAGTAAAATGAAAGTATTTGTTTCATTTAAACTCAGACTAATATGCTCTGGCGGTTTCGACATGACGACTACATCAAATTCTTCACTGTTTGAAGGAAAACTATAGGACATCGAATCAGATTTCTCCTCACATTCATCCATTAACAAATTTTCCGTAGAACTATTATCATAGTGTAAACTTGTTTTGTATAAACTGCTGGACATTCCTTGTTTCTCTGTATCTGTGCGATAAGTCGTTTTCGACTTGAACAAAGTTGTAAAAGTACCACTTGAGGAAAAGGGCTCTTTTACTTCTGAGCCACTAACATCAAAAGCACTCAGTTGTCTTTCCCTGCCAGATGTATATAACTCTGGGTTTAGAGGTTTCGGAGTCACATCTTTACCATCCTCTATTATTGGTATGTTACGTTCAGTTCTTCTCGGCTTATTTGTGAGAATGGTCTTCCCTTTAGGACCTATAGAAATTGATTTTCTTTTCAACTGTACCCTGTCACTCATACTTTTTAATGTATTTTTAAAATTCAATTGACACTATGAATTGCTACCTACTGGATTACCTGTTTATCTTTAAAAAATTACATCATTTCAGATCTTCATTTTTCGTGTACCAATAATAAAATTTCCACTGCATCTCACACTGAAGGATCCATTCTCATGATTTACAAACAAAAACATTTCATTAAAATTTAAATTAGTAAACAAAAAGGGGTTGACGGGAATTTTAGAATTGCATTGCAATACCATTGTATTGTACAGCAAAGTAATGTCCCTAGAATCCCTAGATTAACTTCAAAACTAGATAAAGTCAATAAAGTCCCTAGATAAATACATAAAGATTAAAGAGTAAAGAAGTTAAATAAGGAACTAATTAGAAGTGAAGTCCATGGGTATTGGGTATTGTTTAAATTTTAATCGTGTCGAGCATATACTCTTTGGAAAAGTGTTGAAATTATTTTAGAGATAAGAAGCGAAAAACAATTGTACCATTTACATAAGAACCTTTGGCGACATTGGTACATAAATGGTCATCAATGATTTTAATGGCCAATTGATTGACAAGCAGTGCAGTATTTTTATCACAGATTTTATAATGTACTATGAGTTGTCAATAGGTGGTTTAGTTCTGTACATAGATTACAGAGGTTGTTCTGTAAGGGAACAGTACTAGAACCAAAACACACCTATATCTTTGGCAAAACCATATATGTAATACTACTGTATGTAGTATTATATATATGGGCAAAACGAAACTACATTGAGTATCAAATGCAAACCTAAAAATAGTGAAATAAATCTACTTTCTGTTTTAGTTTATCTGGTAGGTTTAAAAAAAAATGGTCTGTGAACAATAAAAAATATTTTTTTATTCAATTTATAAAAATTATATTCTACTTTTATAAGGTTTTTATATATTTTCTCTGAAAAATGTGAGAAACTGAGAATTGTTGGCAGCCCTTACCATAACGGAAAAATGGCGGAGTCAGAGAAAAGTATGTTTGTTTTTAGGATTTATAATTTATTTTTTACAACAATTTAATAATTATTATTTTCTCGCATTAGTTGCATATATATATTTTTTGTTTTATTAATTTCCGATGTTAGCTGCATATTTTAAAGGAAATCTTTATTTGTAGATGTTAGTGATAGTGTTGTAAAACCAGCAAATCTGCATCCTCCTATTATGAAAATAGACGAGCCAATAGAAGATTCACATAAAAAAGGTTTGTACGTCGTATTATTAATTGATTGATACTGACAATTAATTTTTTTAGAGGTTGACGATAATGAAAAGAATGCATGTTCTCTAAAAAGCAAAGAGGAGTTTAAAATCTGCAGTGCATCATTTCGATCTTCCGTAGCTAGTAGTACAAACAATCCTTTTGCCTCATCTCAAAACAAATTCACTCGAGGAATTTTGAAACCTCCGCAATTAAGCTTAAATAATAGTGTAACAACACCAAGTAATAAATCGTTTGTTTTAAAACCCAGTCAACTTAATCCATTTGTTGCGAAATCTGACAGTAGTGACAAATCTAATAGTGAAAAAACAGACTGTGGTGATAAAAAACTAAACCAAGTTAATGGTGAAACACCAAAATTTGTACCTTTAATTGTGCCCGAAAATAAGGCAAAGGTCACTACACAAGCAACCTCAAATCAGCCTTCTAGTGCACCAAAAACTACCGTATCTAGTAACTCTTTTATATTTGGACAGAATATAAAAGAGAGAGTAGTAAGTGCTGAAAATAAATTAGTGGAAGAAGTAAACGCTTCTACTAGTTTAAGTTCAAATGGAACGTCGGACATGCTATTTAGTAGTGCAATTAAAAATGAAGTAAAAGGAGATTGTATTATAAAAGAAAAAGAAAGTAAATCCCTAAGCGAATCGGCCAGAGAATATGAAGAATCCAGGGCAAATAAAAGGAAGTATGAAGAAGTAGAAGTTATCACGGGAGAAGAACAGGAAGTTAATATTTTAAATATTTCTTGCAAATTATTCGCTTTCGATAAGGCTTCTGGAAATTGGCAGGAACGTGGGAGGGGGACGCTTAGGTTAAATGATTTCGAAATGAGTGATAACCATTTAGGTAGCCGATTGGTTTTCAGGACGGCTGGAAGTTTGCGGGTTATACTTAATACCAAGGTAGATTTTCCATTTTTTTCCCATACATATTTCGCCTTGAATTAATGTTTTAGATTTGGGCAGAAATGACGATAGACAAAGCAAGTGATAAAAGTATTAGATTAACAGCATTAGATGCAAATGGAGAAATTAAGGTGTTTCTAATAATGGTACGTATAGCTTGCATGCGAACTGTTAGTAAAATAAAAATAAATAAAAAAATCGTTGAAACGGGTCAATTAGTAAATAGAAATTGTCACTTTTCTGCAATATTTTCCATCTTTTTGAGCCATGTTTGACAGACCTATAACATTACGGACATTTTTTTAATAGGACGTTTCATATTTGATAGTTTAATAATATGCTAACGATGAATTCAGTGATGTACTTTTTGTCATAGTTGTCAAAAAATGGAGGAATTAAATGAAAACAATAATTTAGTACTACTTTTTATTTTATTACAGCAAATGTTCAAAGTGGCCCCCATTAAACATTGCACAATGTCTAATTAGGTATTCAAAGTTATCAACTTTCGAACTTCTTCTCTGATACGATTTTTCAATCCTTCGACAGTGTCTGGTCTGTTACTATGCTTTTTAGATAACCCCACAAAAAAAAATTTATTGGGGTTATGCCAGGGGAGTGTGGTGGCCATTCAAACGGCCCTCTTCTGCCTATCTATCAATTTGGGAAAACTTCATTAAGGTAATTTCTTACATTGAGGTGAAAATGTGTAGTGGCACCATCTTGTTGGAACCACACATCACCAACAGGCATATCGTGCTCATTAGGGTTAGGAAAAATTAATTCTAAGGCTGGAATCAGCTGAAAACGCAAAAATCCAAATAAATATCGCCTGTCAAATTGTCCTCATAGAAATAAGGCCCCGGTATGCGATTTCCTACTATTCCAGCCCAAACATTTACTATTTACAGTTGTGTATGTTTTGCTTGTTCACGATTCTGTTTCCGGTTTCGTCTTTAGAAGGGCTATCTATTTTACTATAAAATATAGAGCATCCTATTACTAATTGACCTGTTTTAGCGATTTTTTAAAATCTGGACTGGAAAAAAAATAAGAATTTTGTTCCATTATTTTGGGACACAGTGTATATGGTTATAATTAATTAAAAAGATAGGGAGATTCTTGAAGTTGGTTGAACATTTATATAATACCAATTAAAAACTATTATCAATATTTATTTTTGGGGGCGGGGGAGATGATGGAAAATTTTTGGTTAAATCGTTAAGTATGAAACCTCAAATTTAAGAATATAGAAAACTGTTTGATATTATCATTAATGTACAACTTAACCGCCTTTCAGTATTTTGCAACTAAAACTAACAATAAGACATTTGAACTACTCCAATAAATTTCAGGATTCATATTTAACGGATTTGTTAGATTCCAATTTTAACATACCTTTAAGATTTAACTGTGAGAGACAGAATTTCCCCTTATGACTCATCCATTTTCTTTTAATTTTCAGACCAATATCGAAGATTCAAACAAATTGTATTTATATTTAAAAACTCGTTTAGAACGAGAAGTATTTACACAAAAGCGAAAAAAGCTGGAAGTTGGATCGGAACCAGTTTCGGATGACAATTGACCGTAGCATTTTTAAGTACGTAACAAACTAATTTATGAAAATTATTTGCCTTTACATTTCTACAAAATTATTTATAACAAAAACTTTTTCTCGAAATGGAAACTAAACAATTAACTCTTTGCAAAGACTACAAAACCCCAATTTTGTGAAATTGTGATCTATACATTATGTTATTTTTTATAAATTAAAAATTATGTACATGTAACTGTTGAACTTTGGCTTTTTGTGCACTGTATTTTGTATACTTTTAAGGCAATAAATTTTGACGAGAAATCAACTTTTCTTTAGAATGAAGCGTGTTTTTTTTCTTTGTTAAATCCGCGATTAAATTTTTTCTGAATTTCAAAATAGCGGCAGAATTTGTTGGAGCGATCCTACAAGTTTTTCCAGTGGTGCTTGTACAAAAATTGCAGGATTTCCACTTTCTAAAATTGTAACTTGGTCAATAACAAACTTAAATTTTATTATTTTACTATTAGAATAATAAATCATGTAGAATAAAATAGTCCCGAGGTAACAATAAATTTTGTAAATAGATTTTTTATTTCCAATTCAGCCAAGGAAGTAACTATTTCTATAATGTTAGTAACGATCTATTTTATTTTTAAAAAATCGTTAAATCTCAACAATCTTCAGTCACTCACGGTGTTTAAAAAAGAACATTGTCTCGTTTCGATAAATATAATGAAAATGTTAAAATTTCCACAATTTTTAAAGCAAGAAAAAAACCAAATAAATTTAATACTTTTTTTTCCTAATACACTGTGGAATAATTTTTTCAAAAGCGAATTTGATAGTTACTCCTTGTTTCTGTAGCTCTAGCATGTTATTCCCTGCTGCTTCTCGAGCTGAAGAATAATATTACACATATACATATTTATATTTTTCTTTTGTACATAAGAATTGTAACTGGAAATGTTAATTTAGCGTTTAGTATAAATGATATTTTTAATGTTGTTTTGTACATTTGTAGATGAGAAAACAGAATTGATTTTAAAAAATAAATAAATATGAGAAGTATTGCATTTTTAATCGTCAGCAGTCTCATTTTTATACAGGGTGTTTGTAAATAAGTGCGAAATATTTTAGGGGCGGTTGCCGAAGTTATTTTGTGAAAAAAAGTTCATATAAACGAAGGTCGAAATATGTTTCGTTTTCGACATACAGTGTTTAAATTTAAATTTTTTATTTATTTTAATGTGAGAGTTTTAAAGACATTGATTCGAAATTTGAAAAACGCTTAGGAGTGATATATATGCATTTTTTGGTGATCTAAATATTTCTACTTGCATTTTTAAATAAAAGATTAAGAAAACGTACAATAAAATGTTTTATTTTTTCCACAAAAACGATGCATCCTACGAAAGAAATCGAAGCGACGAATTTCAATCAGAATTGATGGCAGATTTCTAAAAATATACCAAAACGGAAAAAAGTCAGTGGCGTACCATTTTTTTTAAAGGTTGTGGCCTTCTCGCATGAACACCACTGGTGTAAGTAGAAATATTGGGATCACCCCACAAATTATCTCGACTTATATTGGTTGGATCGAGACCTTTTTTTTTAAATTCACGTTTTTTTTAAGCACTATTTGATGTAGTTGGTTTAAAATCTGTATATTAAAAAAATGCCTAGATAAGGACCCTAGTTGCCATTTTTTGTTAATAACTTTTATTTTGCAACTTAAAAATCTGAAATTTACGCAAACGCGAGACAATGTAATTACCTTTCGATCCTTTTTTACCGAATTTCGATATCTTGACTTAGGAAGAAGATATACGTGCTCGCATTGTCGATTTTATAATTTTGCAGTAGGCCGCAATTTTGAATTGGGGGTCCGAATTGCAGGTATTTGTTGAGCACCCCAACAGTTATCTTTTCCTGTAGTTTCCTTAATTTTTAATCAGATTTGCTCTCTTTATTTATTGTTGAAAGTTTTGCCAATTTTTTTCTTCACCGCTAATTTTGCAGTGTAAAAAAAATTTGCGAGCTTTCGCAAAAGCCTATCCTTGTAACAAATTTCCTCAGGAACAAAATCGATAAGTATACGTCATGACGATTAGAGGCTTATTTTCGGAGATATAAGAGAAAAACTGAAATAAGAGCAATTATTTTTTTTTCTTTTGTGATAAACAATATGACGCTCGACCTCTACAAATACACAAATTTAGGCTTTTATTCTGTGTATTTTCTACTTAATTTTAAACCCATAAAATTTGAATTAGGCCCAATTTTTGAAAAAATACCTAATTCACCAATCACAAATTAAAAAAAAAATTACTGAGAAAAACTTCTTTAGAAGATACAAGAATGCTCAAAATTGATGACGTGGATCAAATTGAGTAAAAATGTATGAGAAGATCATTTATATAATTATATATATATAANTTATTTATTTTAATTTGAGAGTTTTAGACATTGATTCGAAATTTGAAAAACGCTTAGGAGCATTTTTTGGTGATCTAAATAAATATTTCTACTTGCATTTTTAAATAAAAGATTAAGAAAACCTACAATAAAATGTTTTATTTTTTCCACAAAAACGGTGCATCATACGAAAAAAATCGAAGAGACGAATTTCATTCAGAATTAATGGTGGATTTCTAAAAATATACCAAAACGGAAAAAAGTCAGTGGCGTACCATTTTTTTTAAAGGTTGTGGCCTTCTCGCATGAACGCCACTGGTGCAAGTAGAAATATTCGGATCGCCCCAAAAAAAATTAGCATACCTATTGATCACTTTTTCCAAAGATATTGACTTGTTTTTAAATAACGTAAAAAGACCTTATTTTTCAAAATATTGAAAGCATAATGAAATTACAAAAGAAAATATGAAGTCAATAAATATGTATTTTTTGTGGTCTAGTGATGACTCTCATAGACTTTTGCATTCGAAAGAGCGCAAAAAAATAAGGTGATTTAAAAAAAGCATCCCGGTAACTTGTTTCTAAATGCCACAGTCCATTTGATTTTGAGGAGCCGGGCGCAACATAGGCACTTTGACGTCACACCGCTCCCCTCTCCTGGCTACCGCTCAGCTGCGTGGTCACTTTGGTCTGCTTGGTCGAACCCATTAAAAAAAAAAATCAGTGGATAAAAGAAGTCTTCTACTTTACAAAATATTAAATAGAATAGCCAGAATACAGAAGAAAAAAATTATCTCGCCTCCTATTGGTCGGATCGAGACCTTTTTTTTAATTCATGTTTTTTTTAAGCACTGTGATGTAGTTGGTTTGAAATCTACATATTAAAAAACCACCTAGATAAGGACCCTAGTTGCCATTTTTTTGTTTTTTTGTTAATAACTTTTTTATTTTGCAACTTAAAAATCTGAAATTTACGCAAACGCGAGATTTTCGATTTTATAATTTCGCAGAAGGCTACAATTTTGAAATTGGGGGTCCGGATTGCAGGTATTCGTTGAGCATCCCAACAGTTGTCTTTTCCTGTAGTTACATTCATTTTTAGTCAGATTTGCTCTTTTTATTTAATGCTGAAAGTTTTGCACATTTTTTTCTTCACTGCTAATTTTGCAGTGTAAAAAAAATTTGCGAGCTTTCACAAAAGCCCATCCTTGTAGCAAATTTCCTCAGGAACAAAATCGATAAGTATACGTCATGTCGATTAGAGGCTTATTTTTGAGATATAAGCGAAAAACTGAAAAGAGCAATTATTTTTTTTTCTTTTGTAATAAACAATATGACACTCGACCTACAAATACACAAATTTAGGCTTTTATTCTGTTAATTTTTTACTTAATTTTAAACCCATAAAATTTGAGTTAGGCCCGATTTTTGAAAAAATACCTAATTCTCCAATCACAAATTTAAAAAAAAATTACTGAGAAAAACTTCTTTCGAAGATACAAGGATGCTCAAAATTGATGACATGGATCAAATTGAGAAAAAATGTATAAGAAGAGCATTTATATAATTATATATATATAACAATTTATTTTTGTCGTACATAGTGCGTTTCGTTATTATTTCTATTTCAAATTTCAAGTGATGTGTTGACATTTATAGTAATAATTAGACAAAATCTAGTTTTACCATTTATCTCGAATACGGTGCATTTCAGATTTATGTAGTAAGAATAAATTTTTATGAAACGTTTATTACTTTATCTTAATAGCTAGTTGAATTTGGGAAAAATTGGGATTAAATATTACTGTGTCTACCCGTGGAATTAGGCATGAAACTTATACGATGCCATACATTATACATTTGCAGGTCAATTTTTTTCTCGAACCTCAACACCTTGTATCCCACAAAAGAAGCTTTTCTGGACACTTTTAGGCCAGTTAAATTGTCTAACAATAAAATACTCCGTTTTTTTGGCAAAATTTAGTTCAGTAAACAGACACGTAAAAATTAGGAAAAATTCTGTAGAATTGAACTACTTTACCCCAGCTCAATGTTAGGGCTTTATTTTCAAAATGTCATCCAAAGTTCGCAAAAAATAATTTTTTTTCATTTAAAAAAAAAGTAAAGAACATTTTAGAAAAAATGTTTTAGACAAAAGTTCTAGAACTGTTTATAACAATAAATTTGAGCCTAGCTCGATGTCAACTGCAAAAAAACCGCTAAAATCACATTATTTTAAAACTTCTACTTATATCTTTAAAAAAAACATTTTTTAAAGAAACTTCCACAATATGTAGTCCTTGGTAGAATACGTGCATTTTTGTAAAATTGCAAAATATTTTATAGTTTTTGCAAAAATCGAGTTTTTTGAAAAAATAAAGATTTTTTTCAAGTTTCAATAAATCATAAAGTAATGCACTTACATGACCCATCTTGGGTTTAAAATTTTCTTCAAATTTTCCTGTGCAAATTGTGCGCGTATTGCTAAATATGTAAATGGAAAAGTGCGAAAAATCTACCGAAACTTCGACTTCTTTTATCGGGTCGAAAAATGTAGATCTTTTCCTTATCACAGAAATTTAATTGGAATGGAATTATTGCCATTTGAAAGCTGACATATTTTCACGAATTTAAAAAAAAATGTCCTACAACAAATAGGTGCCGAGAAATTTTTTTTTCCAAAAAATCACTGCGACCTTGTTTATTAATATTAAGGTCTGAAATTTACACGTTGTAGTTGAAAACATTTACTTCAATATAAAAAATAGTCCGCAATGATTGACCTCCTTTTTTTACAAGTAAACTTAATTTTGTTAGGCCTCGTAAAATGTTTGCTCCGCTCGACACTTGATGTACGTGCTAGGTCTAAAACGTTTTTTTCTAAAATATTGTTTATTTTAAATGAAAAAAAACAAATTTTTTGCGAACTTTGGACGCCATTTTGAAAATGAAGCCCTAACATTCACCTGGAGTAAATTAGTTCATTCAATTCTACGAAATTTTTCCTTAATTTTTACGTGTCTTTGTTTACGGAACTAAATTTTGGCATGTAAAAATCTAATTTGATTGGACTATTTAGAACTTTAAAACTTTTTTCTTGATTTGTGACTTAAAATCTGCCAAAAAAAAGATTTGGTCAAACTGTATACAGGATGTACCTTTAAGTGCTGGTCAGCCTTTTTAGTGGTAATAGTATGTGTTTCCAAAGTACTAATCAAAAATAATTTATTTTTACTCGAATAAACAGTAGGTGAATACAATTTGATTTTTATACCGCACTTAAGCGCTTGTCTACGCCGTCACTGGTCAGCTCCCAAACTAGCTTGTGTATTTACCTTCCTTTAAAATCAAAATCATAATTTGAACGAAGCGTTGAACATTAAAAAATGTTTTCAGGGTTTTTAAAAAATTCATAGGTATTATTTGTGGATGTGGATAGGATACAATACTAATTGCAAGTAAAACTTTGTTTAAAATAAATGTTTCAGCTGTTTTATACAATGTATTGAAATGTTTTTAATTATAATAATAATTGACTTTATTAACTATAACCAGACACTAAAATACAAAATTAGTTGTACAAAATATACACAATACAATCTGGTAATAGGCGAAGTTCAGTCGCTCACCTAGTAAATAAATACAAGAAGTATTTGTTACTATTTTTTAAAGCACTGTGTTCAGTTTGTGAATCTCATTATCAATGAACTTTGACATTGACATAATATCAAGTCACCTGCTGTGTTATGACAACAGGGCGATATTTCAGCAAAAAACAAATGACCGACATTTATTCAGTGAAACGAGAATGGTCGAATATGTCACCACTTCATTTTACTGCGAGTACATTTATTATAGTTTTTGTTGATTGGTTTACGAGAAGAAGGTATTTGTAATAGAGTAGACAATTTCGCAATTTTCTGCGTAAACAGTGCCCACTGTTGTTTGGAATCATATTAGCCTGTCCAGCGGTGGGATACGCAAGTTATGAAAAGACAGGTTAAAAAAAAATAAATTTTCACAATGGAATATGAGAAAAGAAAACTACCAAACCTACAGCCTATATATTCTTTACCACTTTCCCTGGGCTCCGTTATGAGATTTTATTACTAGAGCATGCAGGACATTCATCATTCAAAAAATGTACTTGGTGTTAAGAATAAAATTGACAGTAACAAATAATATATATTTAAAATGAATAAGTTTGCTATTAATACAACCTGTAAAAAAATAACAACTTTATTTATTTTAAAACACCTGACCGCGTAGAAACCATCCGATCCACCATAAATGTTACTAATCGATACCGAAGGCTTTATTTAATTGTGGAAGATCTTTGTTGTCTACCGCAGGCTTCAGGTCGCCTCTGTTCATCAGAGATATGCACATCCTCAACGTCGACCAAATAGTGTCCGACATCTGAGACATAGCACCCGAGTTTGTTACGTCCTTCCCCCTGGCTTGCTGGTTTAGGGCCGTTAAAAAATGCTCTGCCGCTTCTCTGTAACAACACAACAAACAATAGCAAACATGAAAACGTTTTTCTGTATGAAAACCTCATTATAAACGTACAATAAAATGTACAGGGTGATTCGCTATATTTTGACCCCCCTTTAACTTTTTTGTTTTAAAATTATAAAAAAATGTGAAATACAAAAGTAGCACGATTTTTTATTAAGTTTCCAGAAATTATAGTAGAAAGACAAATGATGTCCAAACAAAATGGCCGCGGATGCTACCTTTATTAATTTAAATAGAACACCCTGTATATTTTTACATATTTGGATAGAACGTTCCCTGTCGAGCATAGTCATATCGGGTTTGTTGGGTCCATCTCTAACAATAAGCGAGATAATATTAAAAAATGAACCTTCTTACGTAATTGAAAAAAAGGCAGAAATGCCTGAAAGAGGTCTAACAATTACAAGTGTCTTATTTTCTTAATAAAAAACCTTCTTTTCCTTTTTTAATATTACCTCACTTATTGTTAGAGATGGACCCAACAATCCCGATATGACAATGCTCGACAGGGACCGTTCTATCCAAATATGTAAAAATATACAGGATGTTCCATTTAAATTAACAAAGTTAGCATCCGCGGCCATTTTGTTTGGACACCATTTGTTTTTCTACTATCATTTTCGGAAACTTCATAAAAAATTGTGCAACTTTTGTATTTTACATTATTTTATAACTCATAACACAAAAAAGTTTAGGGGGGGGGGTCAAAATCACCCTGTACATACTGTGAAAATATGTGGTCAAAGGAAAGTATGAGTGCTTGAGAATTAGAACAGAAAAAGCAGTTAGGAAAAAAAACTGTTGAAGAGAAAATTGCAGAGCCAGAACCTCCGCACACCATTTGAGAGCATGGACATAGAGTACCTAGCATAAAGCATGCACTTCTCTTTTTGCAAAAAACGTTTATGTATTTTAGAATATCTACAAACTGATCACGAAGTAATTCTCGAGTAAAAGTTTAAAATGGTTTAGTTACGTGCATAAGTAGCATACTACTATAATGCACTTCTGTGAATAATAATACGAAATTGGCTGTATTTTTTCGTAGCACCTGATTCTCCTTAATAGTTTATGTCTCCAATTATCGCTTTATTTTATGCACAAATATATTTGTGATATTTTTAATTATTTAACTGAACGTCTAACGATCCAGTTTCGTTGTAATCAGTGTGAATGATATTCATTTCCTGTTGTTTTTATTGTTTCCCAAACTGCGTTCTCCTTGTCAATTGTCAATCAACAGTATGCTGTGGGCACCACGGAGATCATTTTTTTACACATTTTTGGCAAACGTTAAGTAATATGAATTGAAAAATTACAGCAGCAATTTGAAATCTGTATCCCAAAAAAGCACCTAATAAAATTTGTAGAAAAACGTTAAAAAATCAATATCACGACGGAATTTGGGAAAAAAAACTTATGTGTTATCCTTCGTACAAATATGACACCCATTCAAACTTACACCCTATATAAAACATTTCACCGATAGTATTCTGTCATGAACAAACTTTAAACAAAGGAAATAAAATAACTCCGTCTGTTTAAAATCTGTAACTAAAAGAGACATCGAATAAAATTTGACTTAATATTTTTGACTCACCTGTAAGCGTTCAAATTTATACAGGTAATTCCTACATTATATCTGGCCCTGATAAATCCAGGAGCAATATTCAAAGCATGGTAGTAAGCTTCGACAGCTTCCTCCGGCCTTGAACCGTTTGCCAGTGTTGCCCCCAATCGATTCCAGATTCTGGCGTCCTATAAAAACCGTAAAAGCCGATTTATAAACGTGACGCTGTTGTTCCCGTTCGTAGTCGTCAGAGAGAAACGATTACTGATAAAGTAACTTTCCTAAATAACGAGAACGGCAACTGCAAAAGTTTTTATACCGGATGAATAAAAAAGACTGGGTCATATAGGTTTAGAACAAGCTCACCTCTGGTTTAGCGGAAAGGGCTGCTGTAAAACAATCCGCTGCTTTGTCGTACTCCCCAGACAAGTTAAACAAAACACCTAAACCGCACTGAACTTCATAATCCACGTCCTTCGGCTGTCGTTGGGCGGCTTTGATAAATAGGTCTTGTACCAACTTATGCTGCGCCCTACATATGACGGTGTAAGTTACGATTACTATGATGCTTGGAATAATATTTGAAAATCATCGGAAAAGTCATCAAATCAAATACGTTAAGGTAAAAAATTGTATTTTTGATGCTTCAAATATATTCACAAGCTTTTAAAGTCTGTAAAAAAATTCTGGTACTTACTGATTCTCCTGAAATTTTTTTTTATTAATTTTAAGAACTTTTAGTTGGATAGTGAGTTAGGAGAACAGTAATAGGTGCAGGATGTCCAAATTTATTGGTGTACAAGCCATTAACATACTAAGTAAAAAATAAATGAATTTCAAACATTTATAGTTAAATAGACCCTAAGAAGGTGCATATTTGTATCCTCGGAATTGCAAATTGTAAGCCTGATACAATATTTTTAACAAATTCGCTGACAGTTCCATATATCATGATACAACCGTTCATTAATTCTTTATGCCAGTCAAATAAAAAAAGTTTAAGAAAGTCAGAATTAAACAATTATGTTTCTATTAATTGTTTTCATCACCTGTAAGGCAATCTATTTCATTTGCATCTATTGTGCTTTTGTATGTAGTTACTAGTGGCAGCATAAGAAATTAAAAAAAAATATGGGAAAAATTTGAAAATTAAAAAATAACTACATTAAACAGAAATAAAACAAAATTAAGTAAAACAAAAAACAAATCCTTGCTTTCATCATAAATAAATACTGTTCTAAGATTTGAAATTTTAGAATTAGGATAAAAGAGTCTATTGTTGACACTGCCAACAGTTTTAAGGGAAGTTAGACAGCCTACGGTCAGAAAGCAACGTGGTTGATGCCGTCTAAGAAAGGGTACCTCAAAAAGAGACGATTTTTTGCTTAAACCGTTATAACAGGGGAATGAAAGTAATAATTGTAAAAACAATAATAATAAATGCGTCATTTGATATCTGAGGAAATCTAAGCGGATCCACAACCACAGAGACTAGCCTGAGAACAACAGGGTCACGTCACAGATTCTTTAAGGTCAAGGCAGTGCAATGTAAGCCTATAACTGACGGTGACCATGGTACCCGCAAGAACCATCATACTTTAAGTATTCTTAAGGTCTATTGAATAAAAACTATTTGAACTTCATTTGTTTTTTTTTCTAGTTATTAATGGGATCGACATCCATAAATCGGCACAATCTGTATGTTATTGAAAGTAAGTAGACACGAGATATAAGTTAAGACAAGTTCAAGCAAAAGCAGAATACAATTAAAAAAAACATTTATGCAGCTATATACAAAGCTTCACTTGCTTACAGTATAGAGTGATGCCAAATAATATAAGGCGGGAAAGTTTTTAATAAAAGAATTTGCTGTAAAAATCAGAATTACGATAAATGCTTACCAACCTCCTGGAATTTTTAATAAATAAGAGATAAAGTTGTTACGATCTGATATTAGATGTGTTTTGTATATGAATTAGGATTTTGAAAAAACTTTTTATTCGTGCTATTTTACTTAAAGAACTAAACATCTCAGTTAGAATTTGGGGACACGCGCCACTCATGACAGAACCGGACTCAGTTTACTTATATAGACATGAATATATTCACAGAAAATATGTCACAACACAACATACTTAATAGTAAAGCTAAATTAAACAGTTATTACGAAAATACATAAAAGCGAAGTCACTTACCCGCCATAGCTTACAATTCAAAATTTCAGTGCTGTATTGACTATGATTGAAACATGTCAGTACGTGCTTTCGTAAGTTTCGTAGAGTGAAATTAAATTTAAAAGTAAGTTGAGCGAAGAAAATAACCGTTCAACATCTACAGTGGAATAAAGGTCAGTACGAGAAGTCGCTGAGGCACAGTCATTTTAAAAGAGCGATAATTAATACCTTTTTATGAAAAAAAATTGGAAATGAGTCAAATTTCGAAACAATGACGAATTTTTGACCTATTTGTTGATAAAAACAATGACACTATACTTTTTTCATGACCCATTTGATGAGACGCCTCTTGTATTATTATTCCCAAGACATTCCAAGAATAAAATCACACCCAGTAATCTTTACGAGTTCTCCATGACTTTTCACCTTTATTTCATGGTCTATTAGACGGTTTAAGCATATTTACACAAAATCAGAATATACAGTTCTTGCTTCAAATCTAATATTCGTGATATGTGTATTGCAATCCAATTTTTTAAATTATGTGCTTATACATTTGATGTTTGCTTCATTATGAAAACCAGTGAAGTGTTGATTATTGTTGTGTGTATGCGGATGGGAAGATTATGACAACTTTAACTTGACGACAATTGTTAAACGTGTTTTATAGTAACTAATTGTTTAAGTACCTTATTTTTCTACGATTAGGTGTGTATATTTGCAATGTAAAATTTTATGATGGTACTTAATTGCTGCTTTAAAATCTGGGTTAAGATTTAACTTGGAATATGAAACTAAAATAAAGTCTTATTCTAAATAATTTTCTTGGCCCATAACTTGGCAATTCATTGGTGTCCATGTACAATAAATAATCTTCCATGTGAATAGCAGTTTCCATGACGGAATTTAGGGAAGCAAGCTTATGATACGTTCCTAAAGGTCAAATGCAGCTCCCATATAAATATGACTCCCTGTATAGATACTTCAATACACATGGCAACTATAATTTATAGTAATTTATGCAAACATACATGATATACTGCTAAATAGCTGACTAACCGCTATGAACAACGTCTAGCAAACACCTGAAATGAAAACTAGGAGACTGAAATGAATAAGACTCTGTTGCGAGCCGCATATCCTCCAATTCTAGTTACAACAATCCTGTCCGGACATTTAAATAAATTGAAAGAGTATCCGCAGCCTTACTCTGCCGATACTGTTTACCCAAGTACCCATGCAGAGAAACATGAAGATCAGAACCTTTTATTATTTGGCACGGTATACGCACATGCAGCCCAAACCTCACTTACGGAGATAACAAACTTGTAACTTGCCCGGATAGTGTCAAGTTTGGCGGCACAACGTCACCGTACTTAGGATTATGTCTCAACCAGTTCAGTAACATCTGACACGCCTGGTTGTAGTAGCTCTCGTTCGTGTAACTGACAGCCAGAGCCATCAAAGCTGTCAAATTAGTCGGGTCCAGCTGAAGACACCTGTTCAAGGCTGGTATTGCACTGGGGTCCTTTAACACACGCGATGTTTCAGCTCGGTACAGTTTTGAATTTGGAATAAAATTAATTACAGCACCACTCCCAATACGTCCCAACTTCAAATTCATTGCAGCAAACTACTACTCTGCAGACTAATACTCCGAGCTGCATTGAGTAGCAGTGAACATTAATTGTATCGTATAGCACTAAGAAAATAAAATCTTCGCCACAATTAACTTTGAAATTGGGGCTCTAAAGACACGCTAAATGTTATATTACATAACTTCCATAACCCTTTGTATAAGAAGTGTACCTGTTCATTTTCGGCCTGCGTTGTGCCAAGCAAAAGCCACGCTTCTATATTTTCTGGTTCTTGCTTTGCTGCGGCTTCAAAACACAACACTGCACTTGGAAAATCCCCTTCTTCTAGTAACTGTTTACCCCTTTCTAAGGGTTTCGGTAAATCCAACATTGGATTTTCTTCACTGAACTCATATTCCTAAAAAAATGTCCGTACCATTTAAAATACTTAAAATATGAGCAAGATAAAGGCTTGTTACATCTTTTTTAATAAGATTCAAGTAAAATTGCCCTCAGGAATATAAATTTACACAAATTAAATTGATTTATCGTTAAATTCATTAAATTTTTTAAATTAAAAAATATGTATTTTCTGAATTATTGTCGAAGAAAGTACAAATGTTATAATTTTTGGTACATATCTGTTTATTTCCATTATTTTCGGTTTTACTAATAATTTAATTTTTCTTGAATTAATGACAAAAAATGGTGGTTGCATTTTTGCACGATTTACACTTTATCTTTAGCTACTAATAAATAATTATAAAAAAATGCAGAAGGTAAAGCCAAGGGGTGTCAAATGTGTCATTAGATTTCAAATAGTATTTTCTTAAGTTTTAAGTTTTTACAATTTTCCAAAAATTGCATCAGTAATTTTTTTACTGAAATCTAACAACGCAACCTTATTCCGCACCTCAAAATGACGGAACCAATTTCTGAATCATTCAGACATGCAAACTCTTAAGATTATTTAATTAAAAATATGTAAATTTTATTTACTTTTCACTTATCATGTTAATGTTTTGAATATCTATCATAGCAAAATATGCATTAGTGATAAAATGTATTATACGTTTAATTTGCTTTGTGACCTTGAACTTTAATTTCAATTATACACCTAATAATCTATTCAATTACATTTTTGTCTCAATAAATAGAATTACCTTCTGTGGAACATTATAATAATTATTAAATTCATCTATCCAAGGATGAGCAGGATCTATCTCGGATTCCGTCACCTTTTTCATTTCCTCTTGAAGTTTATTCCAGAAAGTTGAATTGAACTCATCCTCTACAAATAAAATGGTTATTAATAATAATAGAAAATCATCAGCATAAAAAAATCGAGTAAAAAATTAATATAACCATTTGTCTGAAGATGCTCCTTTGTCCACTTTTCTGCTACGGCATCTGTACTTTCTTTAGCCTTTGCATTAAAATATTCGTGTGTCCAAGCTTTTGCCTCTTGTTCTGTCAATTTTCCCTCTTCAAAAACGTCACCCTCCTCTTCATTTTTCATAAACCTCATAAACTGAAAATGAATACGTTACGATACTTACACATTTCCCTTTAAAAATATCAACTATCACCTTAGAATATACAAACTTTGTATCTTTTGTTACTTGGTCCCCTGCATCTTCAGAATTCAAAAGCACATTACTAGGACCTGGCTCCGAGTTTAACATGTCAGCTGTCCAGACATCTGCAAGGGCTTGAAAGTCGCGATCAGTTTGTTCTTGTGATATAATTTCCGTCCAAACTGCTTCGTTATCATCATTTTCCTGAATTCGTATGTATTATCAATAACTTAAAATGTACTAATATATTTTTTCTGCTTTAAGATTGTATTGATAAAAATGGTATATTAAGTCCTTACATGAAAAGTTTTGCCATCCTCAATATACTGTTGTGCCCAGGCATTATCGTGAAGCTGGTCTTTAACAGTAGAGGCTGGTACGGGAGGTAGAGATGACCTTTGTGACTCGATTTCATGCATTTCTCGCATCAAATCTGCAACAAATATCTTGTAACGTCAATCAAAAAATGCAAGAAGTTTTTACCATCCATTCGAAATGTCTGTGGTAAAGCTCTGGTTTCTTGTAAAAATTGTTCAACCAGTTGGTCCGAACTGCTTTGTAAAACTTGCCCATGACTATCGGAAAATGTATGATCATGGGTAATATGAGAAGTTAATCTTGTCAAAGGATTAGCTTGGCCACACTCAGCATCTGTTAATGGTCTAAATGCCATCTTTGTATAATTCTGTATTAATTAAAATATCCTCTTCTCATGTGGCAAATTGGCAAACACAAATCAAAACAATATTACATGTAACTGAACTGACTTATGGCCTGTCTGACAGTGACAAATGACAATTTGACAAGTTTGATATGTCAGAAGTCAAAAGGCAATAATTACTTTCATAGAATTTTCATTTTAACAAATTACTATTACTTCGAAAATTTTGTTGTTTTGAAAACATTTGTTATTATTTTTAACCTTCTTGGCGTTGCTAAGTAACGCTCTTCCTGCTTCCATCATCCGATGATCATCCGTCACCTACTATTGTAATTTGGTGTGTAATTATTTCAATCATTTAGCCCAAGCAAAACATAATGGGTTGCTGTGATCCTGAAGAAGATAAACCAGCCGAGGAAAACGTGGAAAGAAAATGTACAGATGTATTTTGGTTGTGCCTGTACATCCTGTTTTGGTTTTTAATGGTATTAAATATTCAGATTAACCTTACAGAGTAAACAGTTACATTGATGTCTTTCCTACAGGTGGTTATAGCTGCATTTTCGTTTGTCTATGGGAGCCCATTAAGAATTATAAATGGATATGACTCATTCGGCAACACTTGTGGCACGAACAAAAATAAGCAAATGGGTAATTTGGCTTTAACTGGGATAGACACATCTAATAAGCCCTACCTATTATTTTACGATATAAAAGAAATCAAGCAATCGTTACAAATTTGCGTTAAAGAATGTCCTAAAAAAACTTTAAACACTGTGGAGGATATTTATGATTACCACACTAAGGGAATCGATTTGTGTCGTTATGACTTCAATTACAATGAGTTACAGAAGTCCAATGCGGTGTCTGCTAGGTCATTTGGCCCCTGCCCAGTTTTACCTGTTTACGAAAGGTATATCAGTTTTTTAAATAATTTTCAGGTCTGTAACACCAGGGCAATCGAATATAACATTTTCCAAAGAAAAAATTAATATTACGATGATGATAAAATGATAAAACATCTATAATAGGTAGAACAAAACACCAAAAATGACTGCGTAGTATATATAAATGTTAAAAGTTTAAGGTAAAAAAAAAAAGTCCATCGGTCCTGACGATTGCCTTAGAGCCCAATTTTCGAAGTACATTTTATGTTTGTAATTAGATAGTTCATTGTCAGGAAGAACTATATTTAAATTGCAAATAAACTTTGATGTACTTTTTTTGCTAGTTAATTTTATGTTTAAAAAATTAAGACTAGGTATTTGTAATTAATAATTTTTAGCACACCAGTATTGAACAGATGTGTCCCCAAGCAAGTAAAAGAGGTAACCGAAGCCATTTTGTCAAACTTTTATGGGCTTTTAAATAGCTGGGATACTATAGAGCAAATCCTAGGTGATTTGTACAGTACTTGGAAAGAAATCTTGGGACTAACATTTTTGTCATTAGGTAAGTGAAATTTTATGCGACACTTTTATAATGTTATTGTACACCATTTATTTTAGTTATTTCGCTTTTGACCATAACTATATTGCACTGTTTGGCTCACCTGGTATCTTACTTTATTATGATTGGATTTTCTGTAGCCAGTATAGGAGGAACAGTTTATTTGTGGTATACGTATTTTGATATTAAATATAATTTGGATAAAACGCCTAAACATATGTTGTTATCAGAATCAGTGAAAAATGAGACTGCGTTCTTCTGGTACTCAATAGTAGCGACAATAATTACGGTATGTATTATTATACGGGCTTTTTCCTAAAATTTTAGCACCCCGTTTTTTCGCAACGGAACATTTTTTGACCGTAGTCTGATTTTCACCAACTTGCTTCATATCCCTAGAGATATTCATTAACTGGCTCAAATTAGTGAACATTGTACATCCTTTGCAGGTAATCATATTAATAATCATAATTTTCATGAGGAAACAAGTGGACTTTCTTGCAAATCTGTTTAAAGAGACATCAAAATGTCTGATGCACCTGCCCGGGTTATTTTTCCAACCAATCTTTACGTTTATTGTACTTGTAATATTTTTTATGTTTTGGATTTTCGTAGTGGTAAGTGACACGATGATTTTATTCGCAAGTGTACAATTAACTCGAATTCTAGTTGTGTTTGGCGACGGCATCGTATCCTGAAAAAACCGGCATAACTTCGCCGATCGGGAACAGTTTTAAAGGTACCACTCCGAATCCGAATTCAAACCTCAAGGAAGCAAGTTTGGATCCGTCGTTTGCGGAAAAGGTTAAAAGTAAATACACCTTTCTCTCATTTTTAATGAATTTAATAATGTCGATTTTTTTGCAGTAACGGTTGTGGAATATGTGGACGCCTCTTGGGTGAAAGGTATGTGGTGGATATATTTTATCGGTTTGATATGGACCTCTGAATTTATAATGGCTTGCCAGCAAATGGTCATAGCGGGATCGGTGGCGCACTGGTTCTATCGCCATAAATATAAAGATAACTCGCACGTGTGTTACGCTACTGGAAAATTAATCAAATATCACCTCGGTTCTGTGGCTCTTGGATCACTGATTATCACCCTTTTTAAAGTCCCGAGGCTCATCCTTACGTACCTATACGAGAAGTAAGTACTGAAATCTTATCAATTACGGTGTAAAAAAATGGTTTTTTTATTATAGGTGGACTCGTGGTAAAGATAAAGGCAGCGAGTGTGCGTCGTGTAGTTTAAAATGTTGCATTTGCTGCTTTTACTGCTTAGAAAAGTTCATCCGTTATTTGAACCACAATGCATACACCGTCATTGCAATCGACGGGTCTAATTTTTGCAAAGCTGCAGGAACGGTAAGGCAAAACGCATAGAATTGGTAGTAACAAAAAATACTCATTTCATTCATATTAACCGTTTTCCCATCTTCGTCCAACAATGCTTTTTGTCGGTTTTCCACGTTCCTTGTCTGCAACATCGAAGTCACCACTTTTGAAACGCCGAAAGCGTCGTTCACACATATCTTGAGATGGAGCATGTTCACCATAAGCTTCTCGAAGTAATCGGTATGATTCGGCAACAGTTTTCTTCAAATGAAAACAAAAAATTAATGCTGTCCGCGAATGCTCTTTGTTCGGCATAAATTTCGACATATTGAACACAACAACACAACACTATGCACACGCTTTTCCAATTTTTCACTCGTGCACTTCTGACACTTGTTGATGACACAACAAAATGGCGCTGTGTCAAATTTTTATAGCACAAACTGCATCGCTGCGCCATCTGTTGTCTGAAATTCGCATTTCATACTTACACTTGCTGTAGCGTTGAATGAGGGGTCATATTTAAGAGTAGCAGTTTTTCTATTATCTCCCTCGACAATATCTCAATTTTTCAGGCATTCGAAGTGTTGACGTCTCACGCTTTACAAGTGGCTACGATAAACAGTTTGGGCGATTTCATATTATTCCTGGGTAAGTGTTTTGTGACGGCGGTAACAGGCTGTGTCGGTTTGGCTTTGTTTAGGAGAGATCCCGAATTAACGTTCTATGCTGCTCCTACCCTTTTGGTTTGTATTTTTGCGTTTTTTGTGGCTCACTGCATCCTGTCCCTGTACGAGGTAAGTGTCTTCAGTTTTGTTTTCATTATTCGCATGTAAAGATTAAAAAAATTCACTTGTAAAAAAAACAAGGTGTTAACAGTAGATTTGCACATTTTTTTAAAAATACAACAGCAATAGACCAAAATGACGATATTTGTATATTAACTATAAAAGTTTTGGTCACCATAAAATTTAACACGTATAGGCCGTTTGTGACATCACATAGTGTGTTGTAGGTTGTATTGTAACCTAACCTAACGCAAGCCACTGCTTTTAAAAATATTTCGATATTTCTTGATACTAACTCAATTTTTATACGTTTAATTGAAAGATAAAAATACACACGTAAATAACACAATTATGCGATAATACTTTGAATAAAAAATCTATTTTAATAAGTGTTCAAACTGTCTCCCACTCAATTTTGCAACACCTCAACATTTATAAAAAGTTTCTCCAGTAATTTGTTGCGATTCCTCAAGTACTCTGTTCCTCGATTTGTCTATATTTAATGACTGTTTTATAAGCATTATTTTTTAAATGTCCCCAAAAGAAATAATCTAAGGGTGTTATATCAGGAGAGTATGCTGGCCATTCAATAGCACTCCATCTCCCAATCCATCTATTCGGAAACATTTGATCCAGAAATTGCCGAACTCCAATAGCAAAATGAGGTGTTGTACCGTCCTTCTGGAACCATATTCTGTCAAAATTAATTTCTAAGTTGTGTAAAGCAGGTACAATTTAACATTTGTTTGTATTTTTGACCATTTAAGTTACCATCAATTACAAATGGACAAATAATACCAGCCCACAAATTTATTTTTTGAGGTCTCTGGGTTCTTCTCTCAAATTGCGACGATTGACTAAACCATTAACAGTAAAAGTACATTCATTGGAAAAACAAATATTAAATATAAAGTTAGAGTCTTGGTCCACTTTTACCATTATTGTTTCACAAAAATCAATCATCTTCACTTAACTCTTGTAGTAAATTTATTTTGTAAAGTTTATAAGAGTGTTTTTAAAATTCGGCAAATATATGATCTACTACTGCATCATGTTCTCTAGCAGCTGTACGCACAGAAGTATGAGGATCTTCCACAAAACTGCAATACTTCAACAGCGTTATTGTCATTAGTTGCAGTTCTTGGGTGTTCCGATCGGGGATTTTCTTTCACGGTTCCAGTTTCTTCAATACTTTGTATTGTTCTGCACATGGTTGATTTTGATACTGGCGTTCTGTTTGGACACATATCATTCATTGAACTACTTGATCGAATGAATTTTTGAGATTGCCAACGTCAAAATCATTAATCTTTCTCTTTCATTTAGGGTCTATTTGATTAAATATTTAACGAACAAATTTGACAAATCGAATATTTTTTTGACAAAGTTACTTTATTATAAAATTACAAATGCGGTTTCCATGATTATTACCCAACAATTAATGTTGGTTCAGTTAAAAAGTAGCTGTAACTTCTTTGTTTTCTAAGCTTAGTAGTGCCTTCTAATATTTATCTCGTTAAAAAAATAATTTCAAGTACAAATACTGTTTTATAAGTTTAAAATTTAGTAAATGCTATTATAATTTTCAAAAAGAAATATTTTCATCCTTTTAACACTTAATTCTTGTGTTGCTACCAAAAAACTGTTTATTTCGTAATTAAAAATAGGTTTCCTTTAAATCAACGTAGCGCTATTTATATCAGGTGACTTAAGGCATATTGCTACTGCTTTTGATATAATAAAGTACGTACATAAAACGGTGTGACGTCACAACCAATGAGAAACCATTTTGTTGCACACAACACATTTTAAATTTTGTACTAATTTAATAACTTTTTATATAATTTTTACGTTATTTTTAATCTTTTATACCGAATTAAAATTTTATGCTAGTTTCCTACATTTCCTCCACTTTTAGATGGTACTCGACACGGTTTACTTATGCATGTGCCAAAGTGGGGATGCGCCAGACGGCATCCAGATGCAAAATATGGGGGTTAACAATAACGGCAACGTACCTCCTCCTGAAAGTACAGAGCTTGAACGCCTGGACTAATATATGTTATAAAGCAGCTTTGTTCACTGAGTACTATTTGCGCAATATACTAAACAAAATAACCTGAATATCATGTACTGAAACATAATTCTAAATGTTGATATTTTTCAAAGTTTATTTTAGAAACTATTATATATTTTGTATTTTTGTATGTTTTACCACTTCGACAATAATATTTTTTCTAATGCTATTTTTACACCTACATATACTATACAACTATCGATAAGTAATATTTTTTTTTAATTAAGAGCACAAATATATGTTAATTTTATTATGTACGAGTAGGTAAGTCCAATTTTACTTCTTCAATTTGCAATGAATCAGACTGCAACTAGTCTCATTCATTTTATATTCACGGAATACAAAAAATTGTGTTCAAGTATATACTTACGTAACATGTATTTATTCTATCCTTTTTCTCAACAAAAAGTAAAATGTATTGGACTGTGTGATAAAATTATTTTCACAAAATATATACTAGGGTGCTCCGTTTGAAGCATACATTTATTTTTTCATTTCATTCATGAAATACTGTTCTAAACATTGGAAAAAAAATTCTCACCAAATGTCATCTCTTAATTTTCATTTTTTGTTTTCGCTATTTAGTTTTAAAATTTTCCTCTTCATTTAACATATAAACCTACGTTTTTTTTTTAAGATATCTATATCTCGGCTGCATTTCCCGTTATTTTATTGTCCATAGGCGATAATTATAAGGGAACAGATCCTATTTTGGACACTTTCAAAGAACAAAGATTCTCTTATAATTATCACCTACGGACAATAAAATAACGTAAAATGCAGCCGAGATAAAGATAATTTTTTTAAAATACCGTAGGTTTACGTGTTAAATGAATAGGAAAATTTTAAAATTATAGTGAGTACTAAAAATTAAAATTTAGACCTAAAATTTGGGGTGAGAATTTTTTTACAATGTTTAGAACAATATTTCGTCAATAGAGCGAAAAGAAATGTACGTTTCAAATGAAGCGCCATAATATATACATATATATATACTCAAATTTAATTATTTATGTTGTTAGATTAGATATTGAAAACAATTAAACAATTTATTTCCATATTGTAAAACTCAATAAATTGTTTCACATAAATAGTTTATAATAAATTATTTATTTAATAATTTATTTTGTTAAGATTGTAAGTCAATATTTGAAATGCAAAGGGGTCAGCATTTCTATCCTGCTTAAATATATACAGGGTGTTTTGGAAAAATGTACCACAGGGTCGTCTTTTGTTTTAGAGGTACATGGTGTCAAAGATAATTTAATATCAAATTTTCACCATATCTTTTCCAAAGAAACACCATAATCCATTGAAATTTGGTGTAGGTAAGTTTTTGGGGGCACTAAATAGCTAGTTTTTAAACATCTGCTACAGGTCGCTTTAAGACATAACTTTGTTGATAGATTTTTACAGTGTATGTCATATATTATAATGTAACATTTCATTTTACTTGAAACTACTGAAAATGCATCTCTTGTGAAAAAAAAGTCGACCAACTTCTACTTTATAATAAGTGCCTATAAATGACCAGGTCATACTTCTTCAATATATTGTTATTTTTTTGGATGACGTGACTCGGAAACAGATGATTCATGGAAAAAAGTCATTTTACTTTTTGTTTTGAATTTATCGTACCTTTTTCAAAAATACCCTGTGTAATTAAAATCTTGCTTTAAGCTTACTTATAGTAACAAATATTATTCAATAATATTTACATGAAATTACATTCCAAATATTGCTTAATTACTTTAAGAACATCTTTCCATTTATATGTTTTTAAATTTATATTGTCCATTTTTTTTTAAGAACAGAAAAGATAAATTTTATTTTGGTCCACTATTGGTGCCTTGTAAATTATGAGATATGGAGATTTTTAGTAATTTTTGTGTAACCACACCATTCGCCGCAAGTTACTTTTGTTGAGCGAGTGTTTGCCACACAAACAAAAGTAACTTAGCAAAAAACTCAAGCAGTAATCAATAATGATGAATGAAATACACAAACATACATAGTCTGTTGATGGCTTCCAGCAATGAAAAACATTCAAATTCATAGTTAAATGTACTCGTTTTGTCACCATTAACCCGCATTATCTCCCTCCACTTGCACTGTAGATTGTCTACAATTCATGTGTTTGTAATACATGAATATTAGAGTAGAAGCGTACACAAATGTATTTTAACACGTTGACTGCGGTACATACCTTGGGGGGTATGTACTCATTATAGAAAATATTTGAATCTCAATAATCACATTTTTACTGTATCTTGTGGAAGTTGCAGAATCTGTAGTTTTTAGAAATAATGATTTTTCTATTATTTCCTTTTCAAAACTCTTTGCGAATGAAAACGTTAGTATCCTAGGATATATAGTTACAGATACATGCAAGTTTATAGCAATAATTGTGTTATTTTTAATTTTATAGGGTCAAATGTAAAAAAAATTACATATCCCCAGGGATATGTACCGCACACAGAAGTTTTGTTACATATCCCCGAAGATATGTATCGCAGTCACGGACAAAGTACATTGAGATTATCTCGCAGTCAACGTGTTAAAAACTAATTGTAACAAGACTATTTATTTGATTAACACAAAAGAATGCTAAATTTGCTTTTATAGTCTGAAGGATTTTTGAACAAGAAAATAATTGAAAATGCATTATTTACCTGCTCGCCACTAACTGCTGTTTAACTTCGACTATAAATATTATTTTCTACCATTAGTTATATTGAATAATCTTAAACGAAAGAGGTCATTCTTATCCAAGTTAAAAATTGACAACAAAGTAAAAAAATGAGAATGTCTAACATGCAGGAATAAACAAATTTTTTTAATTTGATGTTTTCAGAAAGCATTCTACGACCAAAAAAATTTAATTCAAAAGATTGAGAAAATAGAATCTACGAAATAAATTAAAAACCCAAATGGAATTTGCTGGTCGAGTCTATCTTTCGAAAAATTAATAACACATTGTCAAAACCAGACAAGAGTAAACTACAATTTCATATTTGCAGTCTCAAATATCTCATAATTATTTATTATTAGAAGACGCCAATTATAGACCTGAACTAAGCTTTTCTAAAAATTGTATGCTTAGATTAACACAATAAATGTTCGTGATTTCGATGTATGCATTCTTGTAGTTCAAACGTACACTCAGTCACAAAATTTTGTTATATCCCGAATATTAGCATAAGAATAATAAATAAAAGTCTTCACTACAATACAAATTTTATTAAACACCTAATCAAATTATACTTTTGATTTCTTCATAGTTGATACAGACACCTTTTTTATTTTCTTCTTCTTCTTCTTCTTTGGCTTTTTCGACACATCTCCGTTATGTTTAACGTTACTATCTTTATCCAGATCGAGGGCCTTTTTTAGAGGATCGCCTTTAAAAATATCGTCTAATGGCGTTAACTTGTAACTATCTGTGGGTCTTGTAGCTTCTGCGTGCGCCTTTTGCTGCATCCTGTTGAGGTATTTATTTTTAGCGCTTATTCTCAGTTGTTGGCGGTATTTTGCTGGACTCATGTAATTTGGATTTTCCCACAACGCAACGCCCCCGAAACTACCAGAAAATATCTTAACCTAAAATTGTTATAGTGAAAAGAAAAAGTTAATTTAGTAATAATATTTTCTTACAGGATTTAATACAAATCTAGGTCCTACTTCTGCCAAGGCTCCGTCCTCGGATAAAATTTGAAAATTTCGGAACCATATCCTGTTGTCTAAAATTGTAAATGTATAAACATGATCAAAAAAAGGTTGACTCTTTGGATGATGTTTGGGAACTCCAAATATCTGCGAAAGGAGTTCTTTTAATAAAGCATAATGTGGTTTTTCTAAAAATATCGGATCAAAACTCAATATTGGCCTTGATCCTCTTAAACAGTTCCCTGTTAGTTTCAGCTCTTCCATAGTGTATACTAAAACAAAAACAAATATAAAAATGTTATATTTCTCTAAGCTAAAAATCTTACTATTTTCTACGAAAAACTTTGCGCTTGGTCCATTAGGAACATTGGACAACCACATATATAAATCTTTCTTTTTTCGTCCCTCAAACATTACTGCCTTGCTACAGTTTTTCATCTCACACATTTCATTTATAACCGATAACGTTTTGGAACGTTCCATTTTAGCCTCAGGTTTGTGATGGGGCATAATTTTTTTTAAATCTTCCATTAAATGCCTGTCTCTATGACTAATTCCTCTAGATGCAAATATCAACACTCGCTGTTTGTTAACCCATTTTGCCTGGAATATACAATTCTGTAAATACTACTCAAATATAGTTCAAAGATAAAAACCTTTTTTTCTACTGGCTCATCTGATCGTCTAACTGTCGGTAATAGCCCTGTTGTTTTATCTTCTGCTTCAGCTTCAGTAAGCTTTCTTTTTTTTGAGGTCTTTGCCATTGCGATAAACAAACACGTGTTTAGATATTTCAAATTAAAATAATTTTAACATAACCTCACTTAGTAAAATGTGTTTACAGATTGCAAAATGACAGCTGTTGTAGCAGCGTTTTCCATTCACCTGCACTAACTCTATCTTTTAGTGCACTGAGTGCAAAAGTGCAGGCAAATGGAAAATGCTATAAGCCTGGGGCGCTGGCAAAAACAGTACCTATCCAATTAGCAACTAATATCAGTTCAGAGTAACTCTAAATTGCTATTAGGTAGTGATGGGACTACTCGAATGAAAATTATCGATTATATCGATTATGAAAATCTCTCGAGATATCTCGAGTGGTTATAAAGAATCATTCGATTATTCGGATACGAATGACAGTGGCCACAGCGTTACTAATACCTGCACTACTCGAGCGAGTGCGCAGATGTTTCGATTGTTCCAACGCTCTAACGAGCTACAACATCTCGAGATAAGACGGCCGAGAGGATAGATGAGACAATCGAATAACACCGCACCGACAAACAAGAAAAAAGGTATGCAGGAATCTTATGAGTGGCATCGCGGGGGGTTAGATGGGAGCTTTATTTAGCGGGGATAAAAATTCATATGAATGAAAATAATGCCAAATTATGTTTTCTATATAATTTTTTTTTTCAAAAAAATCCAAACAATGTACCGTTTAGGCGGCGACTACTCATTTTAAACACATGCTGCTGATTCACTCAACTGGCAACGAAGAAATATGGAAGAACTGCCCCAATCCGCGACAGTCATTCATTTACCTAACGTCAACATGTTTCGCATATGATTTGGGATAGACCAGAAATTTTCAGTGAACTTTCGATTATTCATTCGAATGATCATTCGATTATGAAATTAATTCGAAAGGTAACCTCTCGATTATTTAATTCATTCGATTATTCCCATCACTACTATTAGGTAATATTTCTGCCAAATCGAAAGGTCCTCTGGATCCATATGCATACAGCAGGGATAACGGATCGTTGTACCCCGGTGTTGGTAGAGCACTGTCACTGTAGCTCCCTCTAGTGAATAACATTTTCCCCCTCCAAACCGGCTAAACTCCAAGCCCGCAATTTTTGAAATTGTGTTAATGGCCTTAACGGTGTGTTAAGTCCATAGACAAGAAGCTTTAGCACAATGTGTCCACAATTGGTAATTGGATGTTGATGGTAACGTGGTTACAACAAATCTGTAATCACTGATCACAGGTGAAAGAGACAGACAGACTTGGGGAAGGCTACCTCCAGTTCCAGCAGTATATACTCCAAGTAACACGACGATCTCTTAAATTTTTTAAACCAGAAAATAAAAAATCGCTTTATTGATTGCAGACAGAATATATTTAAATATATATATTTCTTTAACAAGATAACAATTTGTACAATTCACAATTTAATCACAATAAAAAATAAATAAATAAATGTAAATCAGTCAAAACTTTTATAAAAAAAATTACATTGTAGGCAAAAATCTGATACTTAGATAATTCTTCGACAATGATACAACAATTACCAAAATAATTACATAGTTGAGTAAATTAATTTTGACTTCTTGAATTATATAATAAAAATAGCTCTTTAAATTTTTGTGGAGTGACCAAATGTGGAAAAAAAAATTATAAGCGTCCAATTTTTCTACCAATTACTTTGCCCTATACACTCAATATGCAAATAATGTGAGATATAAACTCAGTATTAGATGTAATGACTGAGATGAAATAATTACTACTACATTTTTAACAACATAATTAACAAATATGTATAGAAAAATATAAATTACGTTCTATCGCAGGTAAGTGTTTCAGGCACGCAACATGAAAAATGTCGCATATCAAGTGTCTAAAAACTTATATTGCAACATGTTATAAATTTGCCCCATGAACATCTTCTCATAATTTTAGAACAAGAAATAATAAATTTTATTTTGCAGTTAACGTAACGAAGTAAAATAATATTTAAATGTGACATTTTGTCGACACTTTTCTACAAAGAATACAATAATTCCTCTACGCACGAGTTCTCAAAAAATGTCAATTTTTAAGCAGACATGCTCAAAGGATGTCATTTAGAAATTAGAAGGACAACTGAAAAGTCGCTATTAAGCTGGGTTCTTACAGTTGCTGATTGGGAAATGTGGATGTTATGCCGAAAGAAAATTCACAAAGCGCAATTCGCTATATGCATTTATATGAACCCCAACTTCTCAAGTTGGTAGACAAAACAGATTTGGCCATGTATTATACAGGGTATCCCACCAGGAATCGCCACTATCGATGTCTCGGAAAGCATTAATTTTCTTATTTTAAATGGGACACCCTATATTTTCGGATTCAACGTGAAATTTGAAGGCCACTTTATCAAATACTCCCTATATCTAGGAGTTGTAGATTTTGAGATATTAATTTTTAAAGGAAAAATTTGACAGTTGCGAGGGTCCGCGGAGATGCTAGTAACTCTTTTCAGGAGCGTGATATCCAGTGGATTTTTGGTACTTGCAAAGGGTATGCATAAGTAATACTAAATCATAGTGTACCAACAAATTAAAACATTTAATACTAGGTGTTTCATTTTTGCTGTTACATTTTGATAACTTCAAACAGCTATGACTTTGTTAACTTAAATGGAACACCCTGTATTTTTTAATCTGTCAGATGCAGATTGAAATTTCTTTTCAAGCCATATAAGCATTGTTAGGGTTGCCGTTACTACTTTTAGAGATATTTGCAATTTTCTATTTTTTGGACAGTTTTTCTCGTACCAGACTTGTTATCAAAGTGGCCTGAAAAAAATTACTAGCATCTACGCGGACCCTTGCATCTGTCAAATTTTTTCTTTAAAAATTAATATATCAAAATAAATATTTAATAAAGTGACCCTCAAATTTCACGTGGAATCCGAAATAATAATATAATACGATAATGTTGATTTCCAGTATAACCAGAAGGGCCACAAAGTTTTAAATATTTTAGCTGTGTTGGCCCTAGCACCTTTGCTAGGTTGTCAAATTTTCAGATTTATCGGATCAGTACTTTCCGAGATATCAATAGCGGCGATTCCTGGTGAGACACCCTGTATATTAGGCTGATTCAAATAAAATCGACTATTTTTTTTTTCAACATTCCCTCTGAAATAGATTTGGGGAGGTGAGAAGAGATGCCTGTAAAAATTTGAACTCTTAATATTGAACATCGCGATTTTCTATTTTGCATTTAAATAGCATTGGAAAAATTATTTTCCAATTTTAGAATTGTGTCTTAAAAACCAATAGATGGATTTAAATGACTGAAACGTATTCTTGTAAGGAATTGAATGTTCTACAAAAAATGTCCCTTATCATTTTTTGGTAAGCCTACTCGTACAAAAGTTATTCAAATTCAAAGTTAAATTTGTTATAATTACACTTTTTTCTCCAATTTCAGGTAAAATGATTAAAGTTATCGTGAAATATTATAAAAAAAAAGGCATTTAAAGGTCAAAATAGTGGAAAATGGTTAAACTATCACAACCGAAAAGTCATTTATCATCGGTAAAGAAATAATTTCAAATAGTATTTAATACAATAAAAAGGATTTTAATTGATTCTTTCCAGAAATGATGGGATTTTCAGTCATATTAATTTGAAAGACTTGATTTTGACTTTTTTTTAATATTTCGTGACAACTCCTGAAATTGGAGAAAACGTAATTATAACAAATTTAACTTTGAATTTGAATTAGTGCTGGCAAAAACAGGAAAAAAGTGAAACCGGTTAATCGGGTTCCGTAAAAACCGATTTCAGATAAAACCGGTTAGTCGAATAGTTGCTAAAACCGGTTATTCGAATATCCCGTTACTTGAATCGCCAAAACCGGATACCTGAAAATCGGAAATTGTCTAAAAAAAAATACAAGTCTTTACAAAAATCTGGAAGTCGGTCAATTGCAATCGGACAAATCGATGTCTAAAAAAAAAAAAAGGAAGTAGATCATCGAATAATCGGTTTTCGGATATTTGAAGAATCGAATAACCGAATAACCGGTTTTCGGATTTCATAAAAATCCGAATTATTCGAAATCGGTTTACCGACTATCCAAAAGACCGATTTTAGTTGCCAGCACTAATTTGAATAACTTTTGTACGAGTGGGTCTATTGGTTTTTAAAATATGTATAAAATTCTGATACTGAAACATAATTTTTACCATGTTATTGAAATAGAAAATAGAAAATCGCGATGCGCGACATCTAAATATTAATATTAAGAGTTCCGATTTTTACAGGCATCTCTTCTCACCTCCTTGAATCTACGTCAGAGGGGATTTTGAAAAAAAATAAAGTCAATTTTTTTTTAATAAGCCTACTGTACAGGGTGGTCCCGAGGTAATGGGCCAAAATTCAAGGGTAGATTCCCCAAGTAAAAACATTGCGATTTAGCCGAACTTACCTTAGTCCAAAAGTTGATACTTAAAGAGATACAGGGTGTTAAATGTAAAATATTATTTCAGTTTTTTTTAATTTATTCCTTAACAAATGCAAATATCCTCACAAAATTTTGGGGATTGGAGGTCTTCGAGTAGAGGAATTGAAATGTGTATACATTTTGGTTAAAGTTCTAAGAGGGCGCTAGCTGCAGTAGAATGAATGTGTTAAAAAGGACATAACTTTTTTGTACTTTTAAGGTATCTCATCTTTGGTAACAAATTCTTATTTTCCAACTTTTTTTGCACAAAAAAGGTACACTTTATTAAAGTAGCTATCTCGCACCGTTTTCGAGATATTTGGCTTTGAAACTTCCAATGTTGTTGCATTAAATTACAATTAGTACCTACAGGTAGTGATGTAAAATAGCATGCTATTTAGTTTTGGGTGATATATATCAAAATATATATCATTATATATATCAGATGAATTTTGTTAAAAAAAAACTATATTCAAATTAGTTTTTTTATATTGCTAATGCCTTGCTGATTAATTTGACACCAAATACATGTCATATATATGAACTTTAAGAAAAGTTATCAAGTGATCTTTATTTTTTTTCATATTTAGATTGGAATTTTATATTTTTTTTATCATACTGACTTCTAATTTTTGTTGCGTGCTACTGACTGTTTATAAGCAAGTACGCTGTTTATTAGCAATTTAGTTTTATCAACCCAGAAATAAAAAATGGGAAATTTCTAGAACAAGAAAATTTAGTCTTTGTATATCACAATACGTACTTAAAAAAAATTAAAGATAAAAATTGAAATAAAAATTATCAAAAACTTATGATAATAAAGAAACTGCTTTAAAGTAGTACTTAAAAATCTGAAAATTTAGGGGTGTACTATAAATGGGGAGACCTAAGAGCGCACGTAATTTCAACTCACCCCTTCCACCCTAGGGGGTGGGGTGAAGGTTTTTTTTAGACGTACCCTATTTATTTTGCGATTTTCGGATTGTACGCGTAAAACTACCCCCAGAAACGCGTTCTTGGGGGTACGTCTAAAAGACCACCCCTCACCCCCTCTGCACCTACTAAGGTGGAAAGGGCCAGTTGAAATCAGGTTCGCTCTTAGGTCTCCCCACTTATAGTACACCCCTAAAATTTCAGATTTCTATATTTATTTTTGAAGGAGAAAAATGCTCATCGAAAAAACGACAAAATCCATACGAGGGTGGTGGTTTGGTTTTTGTGCGAATTCGGCAAGAACGCGCTTTCGGGGGTAGTTTTACGCATAGAATCCGAAACTCGCAAAATGAGTAGGGTACATCTAAAAAAACCACCCGTCACCCCCTAGGGTGGAAGGGGTGACTTGAAATTACGTGCGCTCTTAGTTCTTCCCATCTATAGTACACCCCTAAAATTTCAGATTTTTATATTCATTTTTGACGGAGATATTCCAGGTACCCAAGAGCTACTACAGTCCAACTCAAGCCTACCACACCACAAGTTTTTAGTTTTAAAATGTAAGGTTATGTTTGAAATTTGGCTTTATTCATGAAATGGCGGGAAAATTGATATATATCAGCTATTAACATAAATATAATAGCTGATATGTATCAAAAATTGATATATATCAATTTGTTATATATTTTCACTCACATCACTACCTACAGGTATTATTAATTTAGCCGTAAAGTTTCTTAAGTAGGATTTGGACGAAAATCAAATAATTCACGTCTTCCACTTGTCTTATTGCTGTCATTTGTATGCTAATTTCTATAAAGTATTATTCGTATCTAATTAAAATGACATCTTAGCTTACAAATTAAATTGTATACTCGTATACATAAATGCGAGATAGAATACCGAGGTTTTCGTTTTTGAAGTTACATGAAATCAGTTGTTTATGGAGAAAGTATAAACACTTGAGAACAACTTTAGTAGCAGGTTTTAAATGCTGCAAAGTCATTTCGCATTAAAGATTTATACTTTAAAATAAGAATCTTTTAATAAATGGTTTGATAAATGTATTGAAGTTAAAGGTGGACATTTTGAGCAATTATTGTCAAAAAGGCATATTTTTTACTAATGTTTAATATTTTACTGTGCATTACAATTTTTAATTCTAAATAAACCCTTGTTTTTGACATTTTCTAAATTATATTAATTATTTCATTTATTAGCATTGGAAGTTTCAAAGCCAAATATCTCGAAAACGGTGCGAGACAGCTACTTTCATAAAGTCTACCTTTTTTGTGTAAAAAAGGTTGGAAAATAAGAATTCGACACCAAAGACACGGCAGCTGGCGCCCTCTATGAAGTATAACCAAAATGTGAACAAATTTCAATTCCTCTATCCAAAGAACCCCAAACCCCAAAATTTTGTGTAGATATTTGCATTTATTAAGAAATAAATGGAAATAAACTAAAATATTTTACATTAAACATCTCTTTAACTATCAACTTTTGCACTAAGGTAAGTTCGGCTAAATCGCAATATTTTTGCTTCGGGAATATACCCATGAACTTTGGCCCACTACCTCGGGACCATCCTGTATATCAACCACAAAAATGTTAGCAGACCTGCAATCGGAAATTTAACGTCATTTTATATGCAAAAATTTTCAGATTTGCTTAATGCCGTTATTTAAAGAAAATGTTTATTATTTTGGCAAATCGCAACTTTTAAAATATTTTTTTGACTCTCAAAGCTGCTATTTACTTTCCAACTGTGTAAGACAAGCAACCGATTAAAAATAGATGACGTCCCGGGTCAGAATTGCATCCCAATCCTACAATTTATTAAAAAAAAAATTCCATAGATTTATTTTTGAATTACAAAAATTAATTTATTGATCGTCTAATGTGCGTCATTTGGTTTGACGTAATAATTACAAACAATTCGATTGGTTTTCAGGATTAACCTCGAGATCCTGGGATTGGGAGTCTCTATTTCCAGGTGAGAATTCTGACTTAGAATATAAAGAGCGAGAAAGTACAAAAAATTAAAGTCAAAAAAATTATAAATTTTTGAGAGCGAATTATTTAACAAAAATAAATAAACTCAAATTTGATATTAAAATGGCAACTATTTTTTTCTATCTGCTCTAATTTTATGAAACATTTGATATGCCTTCCCCATTTCAAAATTTAATCCGGACGTTTGTTTATAAATCGAAATGAAGGTATCCAAGATTTTCTTATGGAGACGAACGAATTCGGAGTATCACAATAAATTTAAAATTTTCAGAAGTGCACTTTTCCTTAGTTTAGACAAAAAACAATACGATAACGTCACAATTTGCACTTAAAAGTAACACTTGGCAACTGTACATTGGCAAGTCATCAAAAAGATTATCCATAAAAAAGTTATTTGTTTTAAATCGAAAATTATCAGTCAACCCTACGAGACTTACCTTTAAAACGAACCGTTCATATTTTTGAAGATCGATCGACATAAAATATAAAGGCAAACAAGTATCGACATTACTTTTCCTCAAATTCAACAATTATTAATACTCGTAGGATGAGCTCAAAAGTGAAAAACAATTTTCAAACTAATTCTTACAAATACGTCCACTTCACAAATAATTCTAGTTCCCGTAGTTATTTCTCGATAAATCATAACGATTTTATTGCTCGTCGGTAAGAAAAATATTTAAGCTACATACAACTGTTCCTTAAACCAGTTATTGCGGACAATTGGAAGCTTACGAATATCAATTTTACTCTCCTCAAAACGGTTAGTCGGCGACCACTACGTATATATATACTTTTTATAATAAATACAAAATAACCAACAAAATTTCTACTAATACTACTAATTTTAGCCGTCAAACTGATAGATACATAAATTTACTCTTGTTATTTCTAAGCGGGCAAGATCTGGAAGTCGCGAGACCTCAATTATATTATTCGCTAATTTTACATGTTGTTAATACAAATGGACAAACATTATTGCTAAAAAATCTGTTAAAAAATCCTTTACTAAAACCGTCCTTACATCTTAGCCAAACTGCAATCTCTGTCGTCTATACGTAGGTTTCAACCTACGGCGCAGACTTGCAGACAAAAATCGCCCAGAGGCGAAAATCTCTCAAAGGAGCATTGAAAAATTCCCTAAAATCCTCTCCGTTCCTTCATTCAACGTGGCGGAAGCATTCCTACAAAGAAATATTATCGGTTACGGTACTAAGAGATTGGTGTCAAAATTCCCCGTTATCGGACTAATGGTCAATTTTGTTTTTAATGTGTTGGTCGTATGCTGAATAACAGGATTTAGGAGTTTGCTGACACCCCTTGTGGGGCAGGGGTTGGGGGCGCGGTGGTAAATATGAAAATCGCCCCGTGATCAGATTAATGTAATAATATACAGGTTCGGAAAGTGCCCATGGTTCATCGGCCGTTACATGAGAGCGATAAAGTCATAGAAATCCGTGTGATAGAAAAGGATGGCTATAATGAAGGCGTCTCATAGTCACCGCCCGTTTCGCCCTTCCACAAATAAGATCCACTTCCACTTGTAATTCAGCGACCGGTGGTCTTCTTTGTTTTCGTCGTTTGCCTTTTCTGTAATAGATGAAAAACCAAATGACGAAAACAAAGATGACCCACCGGTCGCTGAATTACAAGTGGAAGTGGATCTTATTTATGGAAGGATGAAGCGGGCGGTGACTATGAGATGCCTTCATTATAGCCATCCTTCTCTATCGCACGGATTTCTATGACTTACATTATCGCTATCACGTAACGGCCGATGAACTATGGGGACTTTCCGAACCTGTATGTATATTCTAGACCTTCGGGGGAGTATCAAAATAAAAGTTGTTGATAGAAGCGTTTAAAACAGGGTAAAATGTACCACTCCTTAAAATGTCTTATCACCAAGTTTCATCAAATTCAATACATCTTCAGACGAGCACTAGTTGGCCGTGTTTTGCATTAATAAAAAACAGCAGTATCACAGTTAGTTTTTTACCTTACATCCCATAAAAAAATTTTTTGAAATCAGCCAAAAAACAAAGAAGTTACGGGCTTGTATTACTTTCGCGACATCATGGAATGCTCGCCTGAAGATGTATCGAATTAGATGAAGCTTGGTGGTAGGACGTTATATAGGATGCTGAATGAGAATACATTTTTGGAAAAAAAAATCGCTAATACCAATCAACTGTTTTGATGTCAAGAAAACACCTAGTCCTAGTTGGCCGTGAATTGCAATAATAAAAACAGCAATATCACAGTTAGATAGAGTTTCTCTTAGCCCTCATTCCAAAATAAAAATTTTTGAAATCGACCAGAAAATAAAGAAGTTACAGCAGCGATCGGCAACTGGCGTACCGCGGACCAGGTCCGGACCACGGAAGGTAAAATACTGGACCGCCAAAAATTTTTTTAAAGTATAAATTATCTAAAAAATATTTTTTTTACATTTGAGTGCCACCCATATCATCTTTTTGTAATATTTTACAATTATGTGACTGATTTGAGTTCTTAATGGTAAGTAAGCAGATTAAATTTGAGTGTAAATTAAAATAAAAAATTAGTAAGAAATATGAATTTTTTTTCTGGACCTCGTTAAAAATTTTCAAAAGTATCGGGACCCCACCTAAAATTATTTGCCGACCCCTGAGTTACAGGCTTGTATAACATCTAAGCGCGACATCCTGTATATTTCATAAAAATTATGTGTATTGTATACGTAAATTGATGATGTTTCCATTGTACAATCATTTTCAAAACTTTAAGAAAAATTATAAGTAAAGATAATGATAGCGATATTGATGAAAATTAGAGTAACAGCGCTTTTTAATACTTCGTACTATCTCTGTAATTTTTTGTAAACATGTAAATTTTTCCCAACATTACCCTTGTTTGAAATTATTTTTTTTTACTTACGAGGTTGACTTTTTATTTACCTTACTCAATTATTTTGCAAAATATTAAAATATTAAAAATTATTAAAAAAATCACAGAAAAATATTTAAAAAAATAAAAAATTGAATTTTATATAATAATAAAAATAAAAATAATAATAATAATAATAATAATGATGACAACAAGAATAAGAAAGGAGCAATCGAGATATACGCATTTCCCGCACGCAGCTAGCGCACTCGGTAAATGGTACATTTTACCCCGTTTTAAACACTCCTGCCCCAACTAGGCTGTCAGCAACTTTCATTTTCGTACTTCCTCAAAGGTCTAGAACAAGGGTCGGCAACTGGCAGACTGCGGTCCAGATCCGGACCGCGGAAGGTAAAATACTGGACCGCCAAAAATTTTTTTTAAATATAAATTACTCAAATAAATTATTTAAAAAATATTTTTTTACGTTTGAGTGCCTCCCTTATCATTTTTTCTAGTATTTTACAATTGCGACTGATTTGAGTTCTTAATGCAAATAAAAATAAAAAATTAGTAAGATATATGAATTTTTTTCTGGACCTCGTTAAACAATTTCAAAAGTATCCGGACCCCACCTAAAATTACTTGCCGACCCCTGTTCTAGAATATATTTTAAGAGTTGCTGACATTAATCTTATCACGGGGCGATTTTCGTATTTACCCCCGCACCCCCCACAAGCAACAATAACAAACTCTTAAACCCTGTTATTCAACATATGACCAACACATTAAAAACCAAATTGGGCATTAGTCCAATCACGGGGGATTTTGACCCCAATCTCTCCATCTATTAAAAGAACAGGAATTCTTGGATACAGTGTAACTTTAAGTGGGGGGTTAGTTTTGTCTACGCCGTTACTGAGCAATTCCTAAATTTGCTTTTATAAAATTAATGAAATATTCAAGAAATTTTAACAAAAATTCTTAATATATGTGCTTACGAGTAGGCACATTTTTCCTATTTTTATAAATGTAAATATTTCGAATACTACATCAAAAAACGACATCTATACCGGGTTTTCAAAAAGTTTGGAATGACCCCTCTATCTCAATAATGCTCAATAAAAAAAATTATTAGGACAAAAGTTGCAGGGATTTGAGTGAGCAATCCAACGATGACCTTGACCATGACCTTGAAGGTCATTTAGAGGTCAAGTTGAAAATTTTAAGTGGAACCGTAAATTTTCAACTTAACCTCTAAATAACCTTGAAGGTCATGGTTAAGGTCATATCCAAACGTAAAAATTTCAATTTTTTCCATTTCCGGTGTTAAACGTATACGGTTCCAAACTTTTTGAAAACCCGGTATGTATAAAAGTTCAAAATTTAGAGTTAATTGGAAAAAAACTAAAATTTTGCGCCGACTTTAACGTTTAGTTAAACCGTCTTATTTAAACTCCAAAAATATGTGACCGTTCCATGCATATGGAATATCGGTAACCCTATAAATATTTGCAAAATAGACTTACCATTATTTGATGTTAGCAACCGGTATAAATGCGAGTTGGGATTTTCAAGTTCGCTCGTCTCTATAAAGCTGCCGTTACTTTCGTTAATAGATAGGTGGCAGTACTGCGAATCATCCTCTATACCATAATCATCGATCTCATCGTTCATAATATTATCTACTTCCACCTTCTGGTATTCCTGCGTAATACAATTTTCCACATCCCGTTGCACGTTCTTACCCGAAACGTTATTCTCTCCCTTAACCTGCGACGCCTCGGTGGCCATTTGATCGGCGTGCTTCTTCCTCTGGTGCTGCAGTAACTTCGCCTTGCTGGCGTACTGCTTGTGGCACCACTTGCAGCTCTGCGGCCTCGTAGTGATGCTCCCTACGGTTTGGGAGAATGTCGGATTCGGCAGACCTGCTACTTCCTGCAAGGAGCCCTGTTTACGGTTGCTCATGGGCAGGGCGGCGCCGGGGTGGTTCTTCAGGATGTGCGCTTTTCTTTTGGAACTGCTCTTGTACACCTTCTCGCAGTACTGACAGTAATAGTCGCGCGTCGTCTGGAGGATGGGTAGGTTCAATTCGGGGACCGAGTCTGGCCTTATGTCGGGGTGGCGTTTGGCCAAGTGATTCACTAGCATCCCTGAAATTGTGTTTAACGTTAGAACTGGATACACTTTTCTGCAAATGATTTTGAATGTCTAGGTATTTGTCGCAGACACGTCGATGTTTCCCTGGATTATAAACTTAACAGTTTGAATAACCGAAAAATTGGAAAAATTATATAAAAAATGGAAAAATTGTAAAAATTAAAAGACTTGGCATGTATGTTTCTACCTCAAATAAGTAGACCTCAAGCACAAATTAACAAAAGGAAAACATATTTTATTTAAAATAACAAAACGAAACAAAACCTTAATTTGAAAAGAGTAAACAAAAAACGAGCACAAAAGTTCAGTCCTCTATAACAAAAAAAAAATAATCAAAATGTTTTTTTACCAAATTTTAAACTAAACGTAAAGTAAATAAACATAAAAACAAATTCATTGAAGTCCCAATATTGATCATAAAAAATTCAGATCGTAATTGCTTAATCTCTGATCAGACAGCAATAAAAACTAAAAGCAGAAATGGGCCGATATTTAATTTATTAAAATCATTTATATTATTTTTCATATAATATACAGAGCGTTCCACATAAGAGGGATTCATCTGTAACTCTGTAACTGTAAAATTTATAAAAAAATTGTTTTAATAAAAGTTGCCTGGAATCATGTGTTGTAGTAAACTTCTAATTTGACACATAATAGAAATTTTCATGTTCGTGGATTCACCGATATTCCGCAACTAAAACTGGGACGTTTGAACTACTTCATTTCTAAATTGTGATATACACAACAAATATTCATAATTAGTACTGCGGTGGTCTGTCTGATTTAATATTTAACAGCGAAATATAAAATTGTCCTATTGCAAATTATTATATGCCTTATTACTTGCAGTTGTGAAATAAAAGCAATGAATTCATGAATTTTGGGTTGTATGTCATTTCGGAAGCTAACGATTTGATATTTAGCATGTTTAATTTGTCTCGTCTAGAAAAATCTAACGAGGCCTCAATCAGTTCTCTGCGATTTCCAATTACCAAGATATACATAGCCGAAGTTGATCGGAGAAATTTTGAAACTAAAATTATAGAATTCGTTTATATCGCGTTGGAAGGGGTCTAGTTTTGTTTTTCAATCAGTACTTAGCCTCGTCTCACTTGATTTATCTTTTGTAAGTGATGAGAAGGAAAATCTGTCTGTATTTAAGGTTCAAAATTTTAGGAAAAATTAGCCCTTAAAAAAACAGTTTTTCTCCTTCAACAATTGGAAAAAGAAAAGAAAAATTTGGAAAAACTGTTTTCTATTAAAATATAGGACATAAAATGTTTTAACCACTTTGGTTGCCAAATGCTGCTTTTTTATAAATAACTGCAAAATTTATAAAAAAATGGTTTTAATGAAAGTTGCTTGAAATCAAGTGGACCATGTAAAGAACATATTTTTAGCTTTCCAGGTGTTCTAGTTCATGTGGGCGCTACATAACTTCATTATTTTAAATGGAACACCCTGTATATTATTGCATTTTTGAATCCTTGGTTAATATTAGGTAAAGTTTATTAAACGTACATGGTGTTTAAAACTTACCGTTTTCGATATAAGCAGTTGTTTTTGAAAAAAATCACGATTTCAGCTTTCTAAATGAGGCTAGATAGCGTCTAAACCGTAAGAGTTAGAAATGTGCATTTTCACTGTTCGTTTTGGCATAAATTACTCTATCTTGTCATCTGTGAGCAAAACGTGTACGTTATTGAGCCTCGAAAATACTAAGACCTACATTTTATAATTTTACGAGTTATAAAACTTTTTTTTTTTCAAATGCAATGGCCCATATTAATTGTCATGGATAAATGCAAAATATTTTAAAGTTTCAAAATTTCTCCGACCAACTTCAGCGACGTATATATCATGGTAATCGGAAATCGCAGAGAACTGATTAATGCCTTGTTAGATTTTTCTAGAGGAGACAAATTAAGCGTGCTAAATATCAAATCAGCTTCCGAAATGACAGATACAACCCAAAATTCATGAATTCATTGCTTTTATTTCACAACTGCAAATAATAAGGCATACAGGGTGTCCGGTAAGTACCTCCTAATCTCTCGGGAGTGTATAGGGGAGGTCAAAATAAAACTAGTCCTTCCTATAATTTTTTTTCCTAATGTGCCCCCTAACGGAGTTATGGGGGGTCAAAGGGGTACCTAGAAATTAACGTTTAGGGTTATAACTTTGAAACCACCCTGTATATTTTAATAAAATTTTCGTACGTTGTATTACACATGGAGCTCTACGATTTGATGCTAAAATCAACTTTTTGCTATTATCAGGTGTCCAGAAACGGACTGGCCCTATCACAATTTTTCTCAAAATTTTGACAGAAGTAATTTTATCAAACTGAAAATATTATTATTAGATACTCTGAAGGTTTTTCTTTAAAAATGGTACTCTTTATTTATTTCGAAAAAATGAACGGTTTGCGAGATAAATCGGTTTTGAAAAAAATTGGTAACAAATACAACAACAATTAAAATTTATTTTTTTACAATAAAATCATTCCCGCTAGTGCCAGCCTACAGATTCACCATAAACATTTACTGGTGGTGAATTAAGGGAATGAATAATGCCGTTTCTTGTAAAATCAACATCTATGACCAAAATACATCTACAAATTATTATTGCTCTTGTCTCCATGGAGTTCTTTTCTATTGTTTTCGTTGTTAGACCCTGTTGATTTTAAAGTACTTGTCAAAGGCGCGTGACAGAATAAAAATTCAATTTTATTGTGGTATTCGTTTTAAGCCGTTAGAAATAACATTTAAAAATGGAAGAATATTCCTGTGCAGAATATGCTGATATGCACCTAATTTATGGGGAAGCATTATGCAACTCCGTGGAGGCAAGAAGACTTTATGAGGAAAGGTTTCCGGGTCGACATTTGCCGAGTCCAAAAACTTTTGAAAGAGTTGATCGTAGTTTAAGAGAAACAGGTAAAAAAAAATAGTGAAAAACGTTAGTGAAACTAATTTCTTCCGAATCCTTTATTTAGGAAGCTTTTTGCCACGCCGTGGTGGAGCAGGAGCCCCGAGGAGAGTACGAGACCCTCATGTAGAGGAACAAATATTGGAAGACGTTGCTAATAATCCTTCAAATAGCATAAGGAAGCTTGCGGCGCAAAACAATGTTACAAAATGGGCTGTACATGAAACTCTGAAAGAACAATTGCTTTACCCGTACCACATCCAAAAAGTACATGCTATGTCTCCAGATGATTATCCAAAAAGACTTCAATACGCCAATTGGTTTTTACAGCATCATATTCGGAATCATAATTTTGGTACATCTATTTTGTTCACCGATGAAGCAGGTTTTACAAGAGACGGCATAATTAATTCGCATAATCTACATGTCTGGGATGAAGAAAACCCTCACGCTTTAGTTCAAACTCGCTACCAACAAAGGTTTATGGTGAATGTGTGGGCTGGCATTATCGGGAATCATTTGATTGGTCCATTTATTCTGGAGCAAAGACTTAATGGTGCTCTTTATTTGCAATTTTTAGAGGAAAATCTAAATATTTTGTTAGAAGAAGTGCCCCTTCAAATAAGAACTGAAATGTGGTACATGCATGACGGTGCACCACCCCACTTTGATCGTTTAGTACGTCAACATCTGACGAATGTTTTTGGTGATCGATGGATAGGTCGAGGCGGACCTGTATTATGGCCACCTAGGTCGCCCGACCTAAACCCATTAGACTTTTTTCTGTGGGGTCATTTAAAAAATAACGTTTATTCAACACCCGTAAATAGTAGAGAGGAACTTCTGCTGAGGCTAACACAGAACTGTGACCATCTCCGCAATAATCACGGAATATTATTTCAAGTGCACCGGGAAAACATTCGTAGGATTAGAAAGTGCATTGAAGTACGGGGTGCTCATTTTGAACATCTACCGAAGTAACATTTAGGTACCTTTGTTCATTGTTGAATGTTCTTTGTTGCATGTCTTGTAAGTAAGTTATTTTTCAAATGTTATTTTTAATTGGTCACTACTTGCTCATAAAGTATAGCCAACCCGTTCAAAGATTTCTGGACTTGATAAAGTTAAAGAAATTAAATGCATGAAATAATATGTAAAAAAAATAAATTTTAATTGTTGTTGTATTTGTTACCAATTTTTTTCAAAACCGATTTATCTCGCAAACCGTTCATTTTTTCGAAATAAATAAAGAGTACCATTTTTAAAGAAAAACCTTCAGAGTATCTAATAATAATATTTTCAGTTTGATAAAATTACTTCTGTCAAAATTTTGAGAAAAATTGTGATAGGGCCAGTCCGTTTCTGGACACCTGATAATAGCAAAAAGTTGATTTTAGCATCAAATCGTAGAGCTCCATGTGTAATACAACGTACGAAAATTTTATTAAAATATACAGGGTGGTTTCAAAGTTATAACCCTAAACGTTAATTTCTAGGTACCCCTTTGACCCCCCATAACTCCGTTAGGGGGCACATTAGGAAAAAAAATTATAGGAAGGACTAGTTTTATTTTGACCTCCCCTATACACTCCCGAGAGATTAGGAGGTACGTACCGGACACCCTGTATAATTATTTGCAATAGGACAATTTTATATTTCGCCGTTAAATTTTAAATCAGACAGACCATTGCAATACTAATTATGAATATTTGTTGTCTATATCACAATTTAAAGATGAAGTAGTTCAAACGTCCCAGTTTTAGTTGCAGAATATTGGTGAATCCATGAACATGAAAATTTCTATTATTTGTCAAAATAGAAGTTTATTACAACAATTATTATTTCTTATTTAAATGTACCACGAAAATATATTAATTTGTAATTTTTTACAATTCTATTCCACATCAATTTGTTGTTCTTTAAAAAATTATCAGCTGTGAAATAGTAGGGTTTAAAATTTACTGCCCAAATAAGAAAAATAACGAATATACGTTAAATTTTTAAATGGTTTGCAAATTACAGAATACAGAATAAATTTAAAGGAAGATACCGAATTGCTTTTTATTCTTACCTCTCCTTTTAAATCCCACCAAGCAAGCGTGGCACTTATAAATGAACCTGTGGAAGTCGGTGGGCTCCGCCTTCGGGGTGAGTTTCTTATTCGCAGCGACGACGGGCTTGGACTGCTTCGGAATGGTGTTCTCCCTCTCCTCGGAGTGCATCCTCTTGCAGTGCTCCTTCAGCTTGTCCTTCCTCTTGAACTGTTTGCCGCAATCGGCGCACAGGAACTCCCTGTGGTCCGAATGGCGCAACAGGTGCATCCTAAGCTTGTCCAGGGTGGGGAACGTCTTGGTGCACTGCTGGCAGGTGTGCTTCCTCTCGCAATGGAACGCCCTGATGTGTTTGCGGATGATGCTGTACTTCTTGAAGATTTTCTTGCAGTGGGGACAGGTGAAGGTGTTGTTGTGGCAGTGCTTGGGTACGTGCATTTTGAGTTTTAGAACGTGGTCGAAGCTCTCCTTGCAGATGGGGCACTCGAACACCTTCTTACCTATGAAGTGGGTCTTTATGTGGCACGCCAGAGCGGAATTGTTCAGGAATCTCTTGCTGCAGGTTTTGCACTGCAACGGTTTGGACTCCTCTGACCCGTGGACCAGCATGTGCCTCTGAAAGGGATGGGAAATAACTGATATTAATGGATTCTACACGGTAAGTGTTATTCTTAAGTTAACCTAAAAAAAATATAGTTAAAAAAAACGGGTTTTCACTAATAAAAAAAAAACTTGAACTCCAATTGAAAAAAGTTAAATTAGAGACTTATAGCCACTAAAAAAACCTATTGATTCATATTTTTAAATATATCGATTGCTATATTACTTTTCGAGATATATAAAAAAAACGACTCTTTTTTTGTTTTTGCTGTATCTCTTGCAAAATAAGGTTTTGAAACTTGTTACTTGCTGTAAATGTTGACAAGCAAAAAAAGTGCCTTTTTTAAAATTAAAAAATATTAAAATTTTTTTGTTATCGATTTTTGAAAAAAAAGTCATCTCGAAAATCTCTTCTTGCTCGACGAATAGTGGCAGAGTAACAAATCAGGGCTCATTTTTTTCCTTACGGTTCAAAGGTAATTAAGGCCGTCATAAACGTCATATTTTAGTTTATATTGTCGAGCTACCCCAGATGAAGTACCAATGGATTTTTGTATGTGGTCTAGAAGTCGAGATAATGAAAATTTTGAAAGTAAGAGCGCATTTGAACGCGCGAATTCAGTTTTTGGAACGGCCGAGTAGCGTTACCCCCACTCCACTGCCCCCTACAGTTAGCTCGCGCCGTGCTCGAATGCTTCGGTTTGACGTACAATTAAAAATGCAGAAGTGGCTAAAATGAACCACAGTATTTTTTTATTGAAAATATGTTTTCAACTTCAATCTCTGTAAGAATGGAGGGTAGCACTTAAATAGCGGCTTGTAGAATTTTTTGTAAAAAACAAATTATCTTAGCTCCAGAAGGTCGTAGAGCAACGTTATTTTCTTAAATTCACATAACAATGCCAGCAATAGACTCCTGTAATACACATTATCGAGAAATGAAAATTGAAAAAGATATTCAAGAAAAATGTGACCAAAAAATTTTTACTTTTTTCAGTCATTTTTGGACACTTGAAATGAATAAAATCGTTATCATTCTTTTTTACCATGAAAGTACAACTCTTAAGGAAAAAATGAGCCCTGATTCGTTTCTCTACGACTACTCGTCGAGCAAAAGAGCCGATTTTCGATATGACCTTTTTTTTTCGAAAATTCGATATAACTCGAAAAAATTTTAATATTTCTTAATTTTAAAAAAATGCACTTGTTTTGCTTGCCGAGGGCTACATTTACAGCAATTAACAAGTTTCAAAACCTTAATTTGCAAGAGATACAGCAAAAACATAAAGGTCGATTTTTGACGGTTTTTTCGATATATCTCGGAAACTAATATAACAATCGATATATTTAAAAATACGAATCAATAGGTTTTTTAATAGCTACAACTTAACTTTTTTCGATTGGAGTTCAAGTCTTTTTCTTATTAGCAAAAAACCGTTTGACTTTTATGAACATTTTAGGTTAACTTCGCCGTTTATGCGCCACAGGAAAGAAAACACTATCTCTTAGAATTTTTTTTCCTATATCATCATATTTTTTGTTTCCAGGTGGTATTTTTTGTAAGCTCTTCTACCTATTGATTGGACTAATAGGAAAATGCTGACTGTTCAATTAAATGAGATTAACAGAGATCTCGGGGTAAATAAAACAGCGGTAGGAAATATTCCTCAGTTGAAATGCATAGTTAACTCTAGGAGAACAATAGATGGTTGTGCATTCTGGTGTTGCGTATAATTTATACACATTTATACTGCATCTACGGATAAGCTCCTTTAAAGACTGTTATGATTGAAAAGCACATCAGACTGCAAATAACGTAGCATTCTTATCAACAACATACCTTATATAACAATTTAGCTATTTGGATGTCTGATATGTATGTTTTGTTTTGTTAAATGTCACTCTTACGCAACGCCTACTGACACAAAGCATTATTTTGTACCTACTGACAAAATGACCTACTAGTCTGTAGGTACTATGAAAGCATCTACAGATAAGATTACATTATGCCAGTTAGTACTGACTGGCATTGAGATGTACCCATACATTTAAATAAATATATATGTTCATCCATACAAATACCAATGGTGTAAGTAATAACATTGATCAAAAAATGATAAGCGTCGAAACCAGTGAAGAACAATGAGAACCGACATTGTTACGCATTTAAGATAAAATATTCAGTCTGATAACAAACAATGTCTTGTAAATGAATGCTTACCTGTAATCTCTCCCGCAGCGCAAACATTTTATAGCAGACGGGACATTTTACCCTTTCCGGTTGCACGATTACCTTCGGTAGAGCGTGGTGGGCGACGTGCATCACCAGCTGTCTTTGTGTGGGAAACTTTCTCAGGCAAGACGGGCAAACGTGAAAGAGTTGCTCCTCAGATGAGTCAGGGTCGTGTTCGAGGTTATGTATTTTCAACAACGCTTCTGACTTGAAGCCCGTGCTGCAGACCTCACACTTGTAATTTCTAAGAGCAAAACATCACCATTAGCACTAATATGGGTGGCAGGGATGGTATGTAGTACAAACAATATTCACATATGATAAATGTAAACAAATTATTTCATAAAAAAATATTCGCCAGTAACAATAATACAATATCCCCTTTTGGTAGGTATACATTTTTTGTGTAGAATAAAATTCTCTACCTATTTCTGATAATTACGTATAGAAATTTAAATGTACAAAAATATCTTCAAAGGGTTGTACGCCCTGTATGATTTAACCTAATAGGAACATAATCACTGCATACTCCATGAAGAGAAACTAAGCAACAGCAAATTTTGCTCAAATCGGTTAACTGGGTTCTGAGTTAAGGAGAAAACAAGAAATAAAAAAAGAAACGTTAACACCCTGTAACTTTTTTGTGACATTTTTCATTTATCCAAGTTTCGACACCATTTGGGTTCTAGATCAGGGTTGTCCAAATGGCGGCCCGTGGGCCGCATCCGGCCCGCGATGCTATTAGTTGTGGCCCGCGTAATGTTTTACGAAAAGAATATATTTTCTTTAAATGCTGCCATTGTGAAAAAATATTTATATTTTATGGTCTCTCTAACACTGTTTTTAAAACTTTTCATTATTATTGCAATGTTTGTCTTAGTTCTTGAAAAAAATTATGTATAAATTTTCCATTTTTTTAGATAAATTTTATCTAAAAAAAATGTAGTTATTGATCAATAAAAGAAATAATACTCCTTTTTTGTTTTAATTATTTTTATACCTCACGTTATTTTGTTATTACTTTGTGCAAAACCGTACTTATCTTATCAACTTCCACGTCACCTGTTACATAGGTGTTGTATAACAATGAAAAAGTAATATTAACTGTCGATAGAAGGAAGCACAAAAAACAGGCACTTAGGTAGGAAATTCTGGAAGGAAGCCTAAAGAGTTGAAGATAGGCAGTTGAAGTGCGAACAGTGTGGAGTAGTGAAAAGTTAATTGTTTAAAGTGTTATTAGTTAGCAGCTTCCATTGTTTTATACTCAAGGGCATGCATTTTTATAAGGTAAAATTGTTATAATTATTCTTAAAGATTGCTCATTATTTATTTCATGTTAAAATGTATATGTGCATATATATATTGTCAGATATATATAACGACTTCTTTGTTTCACATCTAACTTGTTTTTGTCATGAATACGTTATACGAAAAACAGTTGTTTCATAATAATAATTCTTTGTGTATGTTTAGCCTTCATTGTCTTACCCTCAGGGGCGTGTATTTTCCAAATATAAAATTGTTACAATTATTATTATAGATTGCTCATTATTTATTACATGTTAAAATATGTATATTGTCGTGACCGCCCGGATATTGCAATGACGACTTCTTTATTTCACATATAACTTGTTTTACCATGATTAAGTAGTTCTTTGATTTCTTGTGCTCACTTTATGTCATACGTCTATACGAGCCTTGTTGAGTTTATTAACATTTTCGCCCGTGCGGAACGAATCTGGATTAAGCTCGATTGCCTCCCGTATGGGACTCCAGTGTTATGAAGGATCTTCCGAAATCTCAACTATAGCTGGATTGCCTCCCGTATGGGACTCCAGTACCTTCCGGCTCTGCCGGCTAACTAACACCAAACCTCTT